AGGTCCTTATTTCTAGGGGTAAACTGTTCCAGATCTTAGAGTACATGACTATGAAGAAGTTTGTACGGAGTGCTGTCTTACAGTTTTTCCTAGATACTGTGCACGTTTGGTTACGAAGGTTGTAAGAGCCTTCCGGTGAGAACTGTATCTCCCTGCTGTCTGAGAATGATATTTTATGCAATATTTTAAAGAAGAATGTTAGGTTAATGCTCAGTCGTCTCATCCAGAGTGGGTCGATACCTAGAGTTATACACCTTGATGTGTAGTCCTTTTGGCTCGATATAAATCCGAAACACAATGACTACGATTCTCAATCACGGAACATTCTACTTTGCTACCTAATCGTCTCAATAGATGCTTCGCCAAGAAACAGAAGACCATTGGTTCAAGGAAAATTTATTTAAAGTTTTCTTAAAAATCATGTGCAACCGTGTTTATAGCCACGGAGGAATCACAAGCATCCAAAAAATTGGAATTTCATTATTTGAATTGAAACAAGCAATTTGTAACCAGCCAATTTTTTCACCCCGAATAATAATCAGCTTCTCAACTTGTTGTAACTTCGAAAAAACCACCGATTGTAGGCCAAAATCCGAAACGTTATTCTTGCTATTTAATTCTTACCGAACACTCACCAGATCATCGTATGTTATCCGCTTTTCAAATCGTTTTGAAACAAATAAAATGGTTGTTAACACCGCGTTCACTACAGACAGTCCTGGTTCGTGCGTTTGGATCTAGTACACTAGGCATTAACAATCATTTAGGGATTTCCTATTGCTTCCTAATTTTGCTTTCAAAAGTACATACAAACACCACACATTTAACTTCGCATTTGGCTCATCCTTGCTTGATTTTGATTCTCACAATATATCTGATTTTTTAGCTGACAACAGACACCTTGTCGAAAAGCTTCAAACCAGGTTCTAAATTCTCTAGGTTTAATTAGTTCTTCGGAAACATTGCTAATATCAATCCTGATCGTGCTCTTTTCACCAGATTCCCTCGTAGATTGCTGCATGCTGTAAACATGAATGTGACAGACATTGCTTTTTCCAGATTTTTACATGTTAAGTAAGCAACTGAGCCAGCAACAATAACGGCAACCAACGAAAGAACTGGAAACAACTGCTTCTGCCACCCCAGACATGCTCATGTGCATAATTTCCAAAACTTCTACACAGTGCTAATTCATTATTAGTGGAAAAACAACTCAAAACCTGAAACCATGCATGAATGCAACGTATGAAACAATTACAATGAAATGAATGCACTGACCTGGTGGTAAAAACTTTCGAAACAAACGAAATAACTAATTTTAACAGAAACGGAAACAATAATGAAGTGAAATGCAACATTTGTGAACGATGTGCATCAAGATAAGCTGTGAATAACTGGTGGATAAACGGGAAAATCAATGTGTAAACGAACAGCTACAGAACTGCAATCCAACATGGCCGACTAACATGGACGAAAATGACCTTGGAGCGTCTCACTCCATCAATGACCTTGTACGTGACGTTTAATTTCTGTCGATTATTTATTATAGATATTTGTGCGTAGAGTTCTAATGGAGTTTTCATTGAAGCACTTATAACTTTACACATGTTTCTGGTGAAGTGAGAACTGGAGAACTGCACCCAGGCATCCTTAACTTCTCCTAAAGTCTTAAATATGCTCGGAAAAAGAGCAAACGTATGATTCCTGGTATGACCGAGTCATCGCACGGGGAACGTATCAACAGTCTGATAATGTTCAAGTATTGGTTTGGTAGGGATTTTGTTTGATTGTATGGAGGATTTCATCATGAGCTGACATCAGTTAGAGAACCACTGGAAAACCTGGGAGTCCCAAACTAGGACGAAACAGCTGTCCAGTACTCCCAGGTTTTCCAGTGGTTCTCTAACTGATGTCAGCTCATGATGAAATCCTCCATACAGTCTGATAATGACCTAAACGAATCAGTGCCTTAACTACGATGTTGAGAATTTTCAGAAATGATTGCATACTTAGTCTGTCTTTTGTTCCCCAGGCTTCAGTACCTTCGAGGACATAACAGGAGAGAAGGTTCCTGAGGATTATTGGTTTACCCATCAAGTCACTGACTCATACCACATACTCCTATTTGAGGTGGCGCATGTCTCATCAAATGACTGGTTAAAGAAGAGATGAGACAAATACGAATGGCTTTATTGCACATCCCTACTAAGTGTAGCGTTGTAACCCATTGCTATGGTGGTTTAATGACAAGTGCGTCGGTGGCTCAGTGGTTAGGACCTTCGCCGACCATGCACATGGTCCAGGGTTCGATCCTCTGCTGACGCACACCTAGAATCAATGGTTGGCTTGCAGAATTTGGGCTGAAAATTCCATACTTCTACCGAAAGTACTGTGTGGAATCAAGCTATAATCAAAAAAGATTCTATTTCTGATGTTTTTTTGAATGAAATTTTGCATTAAAAATTGTTTCTTACATAAAAGTGTTTGGTGACATTGTTCTCTCGACCTGCGTTATAATTGCTTCACTTCAGTGCGACTTAATGGATTAAAGAAGGTAGCAATTTCAAAATATATGTGTATGTTATTGAATCTTTATGAAGTCATACTGGCATTTGTTTGCCTTTTTTATCGAAATGCTGTAATACTTAACGGATAGAGACTGCCATTTCCAAAACTGGACATGCCATATAATCACCCAACTAGCACGGATACTAATTGGAAAAAGAGGTCCTAAGTATAATTTTGCATCATCTATATAGTATTATCTACATATTAATCCTATCATCTGGACTTAGGGCCTTCATAAAGACAACCAGATTACTGCTTCGAAATTCAGACGGGTAAAATTTTGGCTTTTTGGGGCATTTTCTGCCGGAAATAAGATAAGAATGCTTCGATATAACTTGCTGACGTTTGATACACTCCTAAAAATATCCAAAGGTTTTTGGACGAAAGATTATGGCTTTATTGCAGAAGTGATTTACAAGATAATCTTGAAATTGGCAGTTGGATTGTCATCGATGTCACCTGCATAATAAGCCTGAGTTGTTCCCTTAGTTACTTTAGACATGGTCTTGTCCATCCCTGAAGTATCAGGCTATTTTGCTGATGAAATGCGTGAATAACCCAACAGGAAATGAATTAGATCGCCAACAAAATAGCAAAAGTCAGTGGTTTGCTCTTGTCCTTTTTCTCTTGCTGTAGTTCGGCGTGATGTGTGAAGTTTTGGAATATGAAGTACACTCACAATCTTCACCCTAATTAGTCAGATTGTCTATCAGTTTGCAGATTTTCAGGTATTTCTTGCAGGCAAGATTACTCTATCAGTGATTTCGTTAATATTACGTCTCCCTTCAGTTGCCGGTCGAAGGTTGTCCGACCGGCAAAGTTTTGTCCGATACTTCAAACAGTCACATTAATTAGGAGTGTTTCAGCAGCAGTTTACCGGTCTCCGAGTAGCATTGATTGGAATGTCAAGGACTGATTCATATCGCAAACAAGCATGGTATTTGTCAACCCTGTCTAAGGTGTAGTTGCTTTAAGAGATGTAAGTTCTCCCGGGTGTACTTTTGGCGACGTCTTAAAGACAAATGAATTTCCTCAGTGGCGCAGCCACCTTATTAGCATTCCGTGACTTCACCTACATGAAACATTTGTCAGGAGTTGTATTATGAATAAAAGATGTTGGGGGTATTTTGCCTAAGTATGCCGCTAATTCAAATGAAAACATGTTCGCACGACACACTCAATTCTCATTGTTAGTAAAATCACATACTATGTTATTCAAGCAGTAGTGAATTACCCCATTCCGTTTTCAAGATGGCTTTTACTGCGGAAGTGGACCATATGGAGATCGTGGAGATTGTGGTGGGTCAGACAGGCCTACTGCGAATGGATGAGTATGGTATAACTTGCATTATTTCTTGCCATAGCCATCCTTATTATAGTTTCGGTATAAACCTATGTGAGTAAAGCTGAGAAGTGTAAATGTATTTTAGCGAAGACCTCACTTTATATTGAGTTTTTGATTCTTAAGTAGTAGAACTTAAACTATGGCAACCACCCGCCGACAACCGTCTAAATTCACATGTGGTTGAATTAAGATAAATTATTTCTTAATGGCCTATCGGGGGAATGTTTTGCCAACCATGCACGTGATCCGGAGTTTGATCCCAGGCCTACACACCCCAAGATCTCGCTTAGGTGGTGTAGTCCCAGTAAATAAGACAAAGTTGGGTTTGAGGCTAGCTTCCCCATCCCGTAAAAACAGCAATTATTAAACTTCGAACCTCAAACTAGGAGATCTTAGTTGCATTTCAAACGTAAAGGAATGAAGCAAAAAAGTAACAAAAAATTTTTAGAAGTTTGCGAAGGATATTTCAGGAATACATCAATGTGAATTAGTTACTCTAAGTGGTATTGGTCATCCAGAATAACTTAGGTGGAACTTAGAAACTTATACGATTGCAGTAACTAGATTAATGGTGGTCCTCTATACCATCTAATTGTTACTCTAAATATGCTTGAATTTCATGATTCCTCTTACGCTGGATACCGTATATTGGATCTTCATGCCTACGCTAGGTGAAATGTGCTATATTTATCCTCAATTTAGTCATAGGCATGCTTGTTTTAACATGTCATGCATCCAGTTGCGATTCAGTGACTAAGAGGCCAAAAAGAGCATCTTACGTATATTTGGTGCTCCGTGATATTTATTGTTTCTATAATGATGATATCAATTCCATACTAACTTACATTTCGAATGATTGTTGTTTGAAACGATAATTATAGTTCCCATCCATTCAAATGTTGTATAAGTATTCAGGATATTTTCATTGCATTACTCGCGTAATGCAGCTCGGTGGTAAAGTGGGATTACGAGATCTGGTAATTAGCCGTGACAATTACAAACCAGCTGAATTTTAAACCTCTGTTTAGCCTTCGGAGGATTACAGCAGTAATAAATAATTATACGTATTTTCAAGTTTCGCTATCAGATGGGTTGTTTTCGTGAGCATTGTAAAGACCGTTCACTACCGATTAATTTATTTTGGTAAGTTCGCAAATTTTTTGTGTTTCGTGTTTGAGCCCAAATTTCTTCAAAAGTGAAGAGAAGCTTGGAAGAAAAATTAGAGTCACTTTACCTCCACTTAGAAACATGGCTATTTATTTGATATGGGTCAAAAACGTACAGGGTGAAAACATGTATTAGCAGTGTTACTGGATTTCGCTGTGTGTGCAAATGGTATGATCTACCCGTTGCAGCTGTCGCGTCAGTGTACTTATATTGCGCTTGTTCACAACCGTTTAGCAACATAAATTGGTATTAGCTGTGCTGTCGTAAAAAGTACGCAGATAAATGCCTAGTTGACTGGTATGTTGGAGCCAGGACGACGGGATTTATCAAAGTGGCATACCAGTTAGAAATGGTGTCGGAGCCATTACCAAGTTTGATTTAATTGTCGAGGTTCTATATGTTATTTGTCTTAAAGATATAAACAGTTAATCACATGAGTGCATTTCTCGAAACCACCAAGTCATTGAAAGTTGGTCAAAGCTACGTAATACGGTCTGAAGAACCAATGGCTAAGATTTTTAGTAACATATCTGAAAGGCACCTGCATTAAGTATGACATATTTTCTGTCTATAGACTTGCTACTTTTCACTAGAGGAGCTGAAGTGGCTTTTCATTTAATTTTCATTTTTGTGTTATTCCATTTATGTTCTCTCCTTTTATGTGCTTTTGTGATTCCGGTAGCTCCGATCTTATGTATACTTCGACGTTGATTTCCTTTTTTATATTACCAACAGCAGCATAGCAGACTTGGTCATTTAGATTTTTTCTGTTTATTTGTGAAATGTCACATGATTTTACTTTGTCATCGCTTTGCGGCATACTGATCCAACACTAATATTTTATTTTTCAAGGTTTGCTCGTCAACTTGTCCGGTGGAAATATGTAGTGGCCGTCTTGTCTCTAGTTTTTATCTTATCAACTTCTATCATCTGTATCATATTCTTTCAAATGCCTGACTTTAACAACCCTTTTGTTGTAAGTTCATTTTATTAGCATGACTTTGTATCTGATATTTGAAGTCGATACTTTTGAGTTTTTCATGATAACAAAACTCAGCTGAAGCTGATTTAGCGTGAGAAAAAAGTGCAGAAGTATTGGTACCAAAGTTAAATAAGATAGCTTCTTGACTATGTTAATAATCCAATACAGTCATGTTACGGCATATATATATATGTATATATACTCATAACTTTCATCAGTTTTGTAAAGCGACTCATCTATTCTTTATTAATGCTGCTCTCTTCCATACTAATTAAAAGGTGATATTTGGTTTTGAAAATGTTTGTTAAAGAGTGTGATATGGTGTGACAACAGGTTAAGTGTTTATACTACTAAGTGAGCGACTATACAGTATACATAACAACTGATTGGCAAAAACAATGAAAATGACAAATTAAATATGGTGGTCAATGGTTGTTGGTTATGATCATATTTTATTAGATGAGAACTTAACGTAGTTAAAGGTTGGTATCTGTTACCAAATTCTCCAAAGTGTTAAAGTCTTGTAAAAGCCCGAAATTAAATTAAATAGATAAAATTACCAAGAAATTGCAGAACTGGTGTTATTACTATGTGAGATAATATTTCAACATAATGACGTTTCCAAAATGGACTAGGTCTTCTACATTGCACGAATTAGATTTGTTTATATTTTTAACTATTGTTTATGAATACTGCATTCATTATCAAACCACCATCCTTCCATGTTCCAGATCGGGATTTAACAGTGATACACAAAATTACTTTTAATGTGGTAGTCTAGAGGTTACCATAACCTAGTCGAAGTAAAGAAGTGTTAATTAGACAAATCATATTCAAGATTTTTCCAGTAAAATTAAATTTTTTAATGGCGAAATCAGTGATATTTAACTAGAAGCTTTGGATGAGTTTTACTTGTTAGGACAATGATCTTAAGCTTAAAAGTCTCGATAATCCTATGAAGGATTGGATTTTCGTTTGCGTCAATTATTGTACCAATTGGTTAACTTCACCACTGTTCTTTGATGTCAGCGTTTAAAAGTTATGTTGAATGTGTCGTGTGAAATTTTGTAATAGTAATTTTACTTTAACACAAAGGCGTAAGTGGATCACCAGTGTTTTGTTGGGCTAGTTACTCTTATTTTGAGAAAGCCAAATGAACAATAAGAAATTAGACTCACCCACTGTTAGTACACGTAATGTGCATAACTGTCAGTGCAGATATTAAACAGTGGTCATTTAATGTATAATGATGTTAATAATGTGCGCATCATATCAAATGTGACACTACTCTGAAGGCATAAACTGCATCTAGAAACTTTGTTTATGTATATATTCCAGGAGTTTTATTCATTATTGATCATTTCATGTTTCACCATCTAGGACTTTGTGACAATTGGAACTAGTTGGTCTGCACGTACTCAACAATATTTGTTATTGTTAGCTGAAACATCAAACAACCCTGATCATTTTGTTCATAATGAGCTGATATGGTTTCGAAGAAGAAAAGAAAAAGTCAAATCTTACTGGGATTAATCATTATGAGAATGAAATTCATGAGGATTTTATTGACCGATCTCGACGTTTTGCTGATACTGAATATTTTGAAGAGCAATTTTGCCTCAAAGATAAAAGTAATACACAAGTTATTGCATTTGGATAATTTTTAACTTAAAAATAGTTCCTTTAACAAATTAACAGTAAGACTGTTATTAATTCCTTGAAGTTAAAGAATCTGGACTACTGCAACCCACTCTGGTGGTAATATTCCGGCACTTGAATGTGTCAAGTTCAATTTGACGAAAAATCGACATTACTTTCTACCAAAAGGTGTTCATTTGTGGTCATATGAGTGTTAAATAGAAGTTACAGTTCAAAACAATTTTCCAAACCTTTCAAGTTTTTATTAATTTTTGGTGAAAGCAGATGTTTTATTTTGTTAATTAACTAAGTGCTTTTTCTAATTACCTTTCACGCTTAATTAAACTAGTTATTTGGTGTTTGAATGTAAGTAAATACCTGAAGGTCTTAGTATTTTGAAAGTGACAGCAGATGGAAATTAGTGCTTTAAGTTACTAAAACTGAAAAGTAACTATTTATACATCTCTGTCACAACTAGTTTGAAATCAGCCATTCCATCACAGATCGTCAACTAGGTGAAAACGAAGCGTTTATTAGTGATTGTCTTTGGGTTCAGTGTAGTGAAGTTCTGGTGAATTACCTTACCCTTTTAGATCAAGCGTGATAATTGAAATCGGCTGATAACATTGGATGGTGGTTGTCCTACATCTTAGACCTGTGAATAGTTTAATCCTTCTTAAGGATTGAATTGCAAAATATTAAATGTGAAACTCGACAGTTCTTGACTTGATCTCAAATAGAGTCATGCGTTCTCGATGTTGAAGAGTCTTATGCTTTAGAAAACTTCTGTTCAGTGCTGATGGTTAGCTGATGTCAATTTGTGACTTCGGCTGACCTCTTTAAGCGCCTGATAAAGAAAACAACTCATTTTGATCATGTATACTTTTATTGCCAAGAACGTTTAAAGTGTTTTTGAATTGTCTGATCAAGTTTCAGAGACATTGTTTTCATGCTGTACAAACAGGTAATTTACTCTCATATCTGTGTTTCATTTTTAATGCTTGTCCACATACAGCATTTATGTCATTCATTCAATTGATTTATTTTATGAACTTTGATCAGATCTTTCTCTCATATCTCGTTACTTAAATCTATCAGAACTGTCCTACTCTTATACTAATAATCTAGTGAAAATATTAAAAATAATAATAGTAATAATAAAGTCCTCGAAATGCCATAAACGGCCAGGGATAGTAGTTTGTAGTAAAGTGACATACTGGTTATGGATATTATGAATCTTTTCGCTTTTGTCTATCTCCTTATGACAAATCTCTTACCCTTTATCTACTATGAAAAAGGCAATTAACCTAGCGGATTTTTATATTCCTTTATACTTTGTATCGTTTCATTGTATACATTTAAAGGGTAATAAGTAGTGTAGTGTTTTTTTTCGGTGCCCACATTCTATTAGAACAAGATATGTAAGGGAATACTATTCTTTTTGGATGTGCGTTGGAGGTTCAGTGATAGACAGAATGCTCACCAGTCAGGCGGAAAGTCTGGATTCGATTCATGTTCGACACACTCGTAAACCTCTCCCAGTTTATGAGTCAGTAGTCAACGTGAGACTAGGAAACGCATACCGTAAGAAGAAGAAGAAGAAAAAAAATGCAAAAGCTATTCAGACTTCAAAGCTTAACGCTCATTATGTCATTTAAATATATCAACTACTTACTTAGCATTTGTTTCTTTTGACAGGTATTGCATCAGATAACAGCTTATGGAATTTATATGCAAAATATAGTCGAATAGTTTTTTCAATAAATTATGATACACTACTTAAACTGCCTAATCAGTCTTCTTCACAATTCAAATTAAATGATTCAAAGAAAAATGTAACATTTCTGAATGATACCTCCTTATGGTATACTATACTATCAGATCTTTGTAAATTACAACGGAGACTTACTGATTTATCTACATACAAACAGTTGTGTTACACAAAAACAACTCATCACAATAATGATAAGGATAATAAGTATTTATCTACTAAATATAAGGATAATTGTTGTTCTGTTTGGTCTTTATCAAACATGATTGCATCAATGTTTGGTAAAAGGTCTTGTAAACAGGTAAGACTCATTTTATAGTTAATTTTTTTCTGCATGTGATTATTTTCTTGATAATCTAGTTCATTGCTACTTGTCAAGTTAACGTATATGATATTAGCAGATGTGACGTTTGAATTCAACAAACATACTGAAGGAAATGTAGATAGATCAGACATACTATGAGGAGACTGTTGAGTGACATTACACACCTGTCAGGCCCTCGAGTGGAACCCCAGTTGGAAACGCCGAGTTGGGCGCCTAAGGTTGACGTGGTGGAGGAGATGAGAGCTTATGGGTAAACGTGAAGCTAGCTAGTTAAAGAGGACTGCAGAGGACAGGATGAAATGGAAATGTTCTGTTAAAGCCTCATGTTCCACCAGAAACCAAAAGGAATAATAGTAACCTAATAGTTTCTTGGTTGGTTCGTTGCTAGAGTTCCTTACTGCTATCCGAATGACCATCTGGTTTTCAGTATGGAGCGAAGGCAGTTGTTAATAAGTCTGAAGACCATCCGAAATGCTTTTCGTGGTACTCCAAGTTTCTGAACTATATAAAAGAAACGACTTGACATTTGTGTTGAAGATTTGAATCTTGTTCTGTATTTTTAGTGTAGTATATTTCCAGACTGATTTAAGAGGAATGAAGTTCCATCTTGCTATCCTAATCGCGGCCTTGACATCCTCATCCATGCTGTCTATAGTTGAAACGATGTTGTACAGTAAGGTAAGTGAAAGTGCGGTGAATTTCCTTGAACAAATTGAAAGCAATTTATTTTATTCAAGTATTGGTTACTAGGGATTCGGTTGATTGGTTACAGGATTTCATCATGAGCTGACATTGGTTAGAGAACCAGTGGAAAACCTTGGAGTACTGGACAGCTGCTTCGTCCTAGTTTGGGACTCTTCACTACTACGCAGATGCTCACTGGCGACCGGCCCTATTCAGGTAGGCAGTTACCTGGGGTTCTAGTGGGAAGTCGTGACCAGCAGAGTGCAGCAGGTCGGGTGTGAGGATAAATACTCACCGAAGACATTGGCTAGCGGTTGCGCTATATCGTGAATTGTCAGAAGTTAGAATTCATGGGCCATCGAATATGGTCTCAGTGGTCTACGAGCTCGCCTTGTAACCAGAAGGTCCTGGATTCGAACCCTGGCGGTGGGTGTGTATTGATGAAGAGTCCCAAACTAGGACGAAACAGTTGCTCAGTAGTCCCAGGTTTTCCAATGGTTTCTCTAATCATTGTCAGCTCATGATGAAATCCTGTAACGAATTTATTTTATGTCATATTGATAAAGGAAGCTCATCGTTTGCTTATAAAATAAAAGTTATCATTAAAACTCTTTCACTTATTTGATACGCTATTTTCATTATTAGTATTATTCCATTTATGAATAGCTAACATTTACTGATGCACAAAGAGCTGCAGAATTAATTACTGCTTGTTATCCAACTTTTCTGTCCGGCCAATTACGTCGTTCATGTTGGGATAATTATGATACGGATCCTGCCTTGTTATGTCCTATGGTTCAACCATCACAATGTTTACACTCACCTTTGCTACCAATTATATTGGCTGCTCTTCTACCAGATGATAACAGTAGTAATAGAAATGTTAAAAAGCTTGAGAAAACTCTAATGGTTATACCTATACATGCAACTGGTTCTCATTTATTTTTTGATGAAATTGAAAATGAACATCAATCAGGGAGACTTACAAGTAGTTTGCAAAACTCTTTTCATATTCATGTAAGTTATATTATTTATAATATATTTATTGAAGTGATTTCGCATATATTGATGGTGTTCACAGCGTTCATATTAACTTCTTTCCCTATCTTGTAAAGATTCATTAAAGGACTGTTTGATAGATATTAAATAAGAATATTTTTTTTCCTTCACGTTCCCCAGTGGAACATAGGGCTTCAAGCTAGTGGCTTGAAGTTTCCGTAGCAGTGTTTATTTTACAGGATGGGGTTGCCAGCCTCTTTCCCAACCTTTCCTCTTCACCAGCATTATTTCTGGCTTAGCGAGGTAAAGGAGTGCGTCTGTGGCCGGGGATCGAACCCCGGACCACGTGCATGATCGGCGAGCGTCCTAACCACTATACCACCGACGCACAAATATGAATATAACGGTAATTTATTTAAATATAGATGAAACCTTTGTGTTGCCCATCTTTAAATCATAAGACAAATTATATGTACTCCAGCGTTTTAATTGTAGAAGGCTTGGAATCCACGCATGTGGTCTAGGTTCGATTCCCGGCTGATACACTCCTAAAACCTCACCTGGCTGGTGATAAGCCTGTTAAGGAGGGAAGGTCGGGGGTAAGGTTAGTGACCCCACCGAGTAAAAAAACAACACTACCTGCTACTGAAACATAAAATCTTTAATTCGCGGGGGGGGGCAGTGCTACATCACAAATTAACAAAGTTAGAATTCAGCGGTTATTAAATTCCAGTCGAAGTGGCTGAATGGTTAGTGAGGTTGATCTCGTAACCTGAAAGTCCCGGTTCGATCCCTGGTGGGGTCTTGGGGACACACTCTTGAAGAGTCCCAAAACAAGACGAAACAGCTGTATAGTTCTCCCTGATTTCCGATCACATCTCTAACCGATGTTGGTTTGTGATGAAAATCTAAAAATTGGAAAGAAAATCTTGAAGCCCTGAGTTTCCCTAGGGACTCAAGCAATGAAAAAAATCAACCTAGACAGTAACATTGCTGTTCAGATTTATACTTTTCTGTATGTGAAGTTTTTTCAAAAACTTATTTTATGATATTTCTTTCATCTTATGCACACTAAATAATTCGTAGTCATAATTGTACATCAAAATCCTGATTCAGGAAAATACTTATCTGAGAGGTTCATTCAACATGCAATTATTTGTTTTAGTTGTATAGGAAACCTGTCCTAAGATCAAAGATTTTACAATATACGAAGCTAGTTAGTTATAATTACAAAGTGAACTCAAGTTTATCTTTATTCTTTCTAATAGATTTTCCTGTGTGACTGTTAAATATCTCAGCAATATTGATTTATTAACCATTTTAACTAGTTAGTTATGCAGTGTTTCCTCCCACTTCCTTTCAATATTCAATTTTGTTATAAAGATATACAAATTGGGCATTTCAGTGAATACCACTAATTTGCCCATAGAATTATGCGTTAACTTCTATAGGCCTAATTGAATGCTTTCTTGTTTACATGAGCTATTTAACTAGATACTTGGATATTGCTTTAATTAGTGGTTATATCTGTTAGTTATTTGGTAATGGTTAAAAGTGAACATGTGTTTATTTGCTAAGTCTTAAGTATTGGTTTTGTAGGGATTTTGTTTGATTGTTTGATTGGGTTCTAGTGGGAAGCCGTGACCAGTAGGGTACAGCAGGTTGAAGATGAGGCAGTAACTCATCGAAGAAGACGTTGCGAAATGGTCGCTCTATGTCGTGAATTGGCAGAAGTTAGAATTCAAGGACCATTGGATTGGGTCCCAGTGGCTCAATGGTTTATGAGCTCGCCTTGTAACCAGAAGGTCCTGGGTTCGAATCCCGGTGGGTGCGTAATGCTGAAGAGTCCCAAACTAGGACGAAATAGCTATCCAGTACTCCAAGGTTTTCCAGTGAGCCTCTAACTGATGTCAGCTCATGATGAAATCCTCCGTGCTAAGTCTTAGTCAAACTTGAGATAAAATCAAGGTAAGTCTTCATTGTCTTAAGGAACTCATCAATTCGGTCAAATACTATCACTGTTAATGAAGTACAATCAAAAAACAAGTAACAATGAATTATGTACGTTTCACAAATAGTGACTTTGTAACAACAGAAGACAAGGGCCAGGCAACAGATCGTTTTTTATGAAAAATCAACACGTATTTATAGATTTTTATGTACATTATTGTAGGTCAATGTTAGTAGAAAATACAGTCTGTTGATTGGTTGTTTCTCACACAAAGTTAACCTTGCATCTCTTGTGGCTGTGTCAGTTCATCTATATGTTAACTGTAACCGCCTGTCCACCTTGACCTTTGACCTCAATTACTGTCAACCAATTTGGCCAGCAACCATCTCTCACCACAACATGACTAATATTTGATACATAAACATTGACCTCAATTACTGTCCACCACTTGGCTAGTAGACAGCTCTCACCACAACTTCAATAGATTATAGGCGTTTTATTCAAATCTTGGGCGTTTGAAACGATGGAGGGTGCTACTTAGAAGATTTTGTAAATAGTATATTGCGTGTGTGTATGTAATGTCCTCTGCAAGAATACTGAATAGACTAGGGATGGATTGAAAGTGGTAAAGTGGAGAAATGAAAGTGTTTTGTGAGAAACAATACATGGAAAACATAAAAAGAATAGAAAAAGAAGCACCATACTGAGAACACGTGGAAATGGCGATTTCAATATGGAATTGTGATTCTAATATATGATAGACGTATTTTATTTATATCTATAAATCGAGTTGCGAATAAATTGTGCCTTTACCGAATTCTCTTGGTTCCTACTGTTACAAGGTATCTGTACTTTGTCATATCTGTACCTCAGTTCTCCAATAAATAATTCTGCAACCAAAATACTACCGTGTTTTGCTGTTACACCCATTCGGAATGCCTTTGTTCGTTAGAATATGCAAACATCCAGCTATAGATCATAAATTGAGAGGGGACAGCATTCTAGATTATTCACTATTTCTCACTAACAAAATCATTAGCCCCCCACAGTGAGGGGTGGCGTCCCCACCTAGGCTTCAACCCAGTGCCCATAATTTTCAAACGCCAAAGTGTTATCCACTAGACCACTTGAGTCACGAGAGCCACCTCTTGTGCAACTGGTCATATTAATTCAGTTTCGGACGCAATGCGCATCCTGGATTCCACTGCTAGTCACCATCCACCAATTGACTTCAAGTTACATGACCAAACATCGTCGAAGCATCTGTACAAGGAGCCGACATGTCAACCTAAGACCGAGCGCCTCGGTCCAATCAATCTACGGGAAAATCTGAAATTGAATTTTTTAAAAACCATTATGTTTTAAAACTTTGTTTCATAATTTTTCTCCTCTTTCTTTCTTCACCTTTCTACAGAGTATATACATAAATGAATATGATGAAATTGTTAACCGCCTGCTTTTTCATGATACATCATGGCTGTTGATTAGTGTAATCTCGTTAGTTCTACTGCTAACCATATGGACTGGAACTTTATTCATACCATTGATAACTGTAATGGCTATTATCTGGTCATTGTTAATTGCTTATTCTATATATACTATGGTGTTACAAATTCCACATTTCTCAATAATTAATTTAATGGCTATTGTTTTGGTAACTGGACTTAGTGCAGACGATTTGCTGGTATTTTATCAGGTAAAAATAACTCTTTAACCCTTGTTTAGTATAATAATAAATTAATAATTTTATTTCGATTATGGGGTTTGGATTTTGTTTAATTTTTTTTATATTCCTTCACGTTCCCAGTGGAACATAGGGCTTCAAGCTAGAAGCTTGAAGTTTCTGTAGCAGTGTTTATTTTTACACGATGGGGTCGCTAGCCTCACGCCCAACCTTTCCTCTTTGCCAGCTTTTATTTCTGCTTTAGCGGGGTAAAGGAGTACGTCGGCCGGGATTTGAACCCTGGATCATGTGCATGGTCGGCGGGCGTCCTAACCGCTGTGCCACCGACGCACGGGGTTTAGATTAGTTTAATTTTAATTGTTAGATTTCATTATGGAACAACATCAGTTAGTGAGATAATTGAAACCTAGGGAGCAATGGACAGCTGTTTCGTCCTCATTTGGGACTCCTCATCAGTGAGCACTCACGAACCCACCAAGGATAGAATTCAGGATTAAGGAATTGTGGCCAAAACAGCTGAATGGTCAATGAGATTAGTCTGGTAGTCTGAAGGTGCCCGACTGGATCCCTGGTGGGGTCGTAGGTGTGTCCCGTTGAGGAGTTCCAAAATAGAACCAAACACCTGTTCAGTGTTCCCTGGTTTTCAGTGATCTCTCTAACCGATGTTAGTTTGTGACAAAATATAACAACTGTAATAATTTTATTTCAAAAATTAATTAACTGTGATTTCAGTCTTAAAAAGAGTAATATATTCACTTCATTCTGGTGATATCCTGAAAGGATACCTTTGGATATTTTTTTAATGTCTATATGTCTATAATTTCCCGAAGTCAGTAGCAATCATGCAAATGTGTTAAGCCTTCTTTTTTAGTGTTTTCAAGGTTTTGAACATATACAATACTCTTTGTGTTTAATTTCACTTGTGAGTGTTTACTGGTTTAAAGTGAACTACTTGTTTTAGCAAGGTCTTAACGTTGAACCGCGAGTTGTTCGTCTAAGGGTGACTTGGAGGAGGTCATGTGAAGAGGAGATGAAAACGTGTGGGCAGACGTGGAGCCAGGTAAAAACTTTAGCAGAGAATCGAACGCAATGGAGACGTTTGGCTGAACCCCTATGTTCCTCTAGGAATTAAAGGAAACAATAATAATAAATAATACGTTGACCCATCTATTTCTGCTTAGCTGTTATAGGTAACAAAATTTATTTAGGTTAATTTGCACTTCCCTTTTGACTGACTGATTATGTTAGACTTCAAATTCTCAGTCTTTGTTGATATGTATCAACGATGTCTGAGGATTAACATGATGTTAATTGGTTGGTAATGTCTAGCAGTGGAATCCAACATGCACATTTCGTCCTGTTTGGGACTCTAACTTCTGCTAATTCATGATATATTGCGCCACCACCAGCTAATATCATCGGTGAGTAAGTCATGTGTATTAAGGTGAAGTCTGAGAAAATGTAATTGGAAATATTATTCTTTTACATGTTATGTTCATTCGTTATTACTATTCCCCTAGGTTCTCCACTTTACTGCATTCTCTGGTGGCTTTCTTATGCCTGGTTCCACGATCTCTCATAAGCTGTTATTTTTACCTCACCCTCAGAAAATTGTCCAACTGGTCTTTTCGCATTTGGATCCCACTAGAGGTCCTGAAATACTACTACTGAGATTTCGCATTCGTTCTGACTGTTGCTTTGAAACACAACAATGTACGATTTGTCCGTTGAATACTACTGTCACACTGAGGAAGATAATATAAAACGGACTGAGAAAAATGTAGCATCATTCGGAATTACAACTGTTTATCCAGTTATTTGACATAACTGATAAATTACTTGTTTAAGATATAAAAGCATTGTTTTGACTGAATTAATTGGTGGAATCCAGGATGCACGTTTCTTTCTGTTTGGGACTCGTCATATGGATGTACCTCCACTCCCTAGTGAGTGATATTGTTCCGACTGAGGTTCGAACCCATTGCTCATTATTTCAAACTCCAGAGTTCTATCCATTAGACCACGAGAACCACCTCTTGTGCAACAGGTGTCAATTATGATTTTTGTTTTTATTTCAATTTTGATTTTACCGTTGATTGATTGAACCGAAATGTTCAGCCTCGTGGCTCAGTAGCCCAAGTGGTTTAGTGGATAACACTTAAGCGTTTGAAATGATGGGTAATGCGTTTTAATCTCAGTCGGAACACTATCACCCAATGAAGAATGTAGGTACATCCAGGTGACGCGTCCTAAATAGGACAAAATGCTAATCCTAGATTCCACTGCTAATCACCATCCACCAAATAGCATCATGCTAATCCTCAGACATCGTTGAAGCGTTCGTACTAGGAACCGACATGTTGAGAGAAGCTGAACATCTCAGTTTAATGAATCAACGGGGAAATCAAAAATGACATAAAAACAATTTTTTTTGACTGGTTAGCACGTATCAATAAAAGTCTAACTTCACCTTCAATCAACGTTAGGATTAAATGTCTGTAACAAAGATCAGATAGGGAAAAATAACTTATGAAATATCTCCTCCTGACCTAATAGTACATAGTTCACTATTGTTGTTTGTTACTCAAGTAATAGAGGACTTTTATATAGCTGTAGAACCTTCACTAATTTTTAGTTAATTAAATGTTTATATGGATATGAAGTTATGACATAATTCGGCGCTCTAATCTGAGCTGTTGAGCTCGACCTCAAACCAGCCAAACGGCTGTCTAGTGTTTAAATCACTTCGACCTAGCCTCCTAGAGAGCGCTACTAGCGTACGTCGGTGGCACAGCGGTTAGGAATCTCGCCAACCATGCACATCGTCCGAGGTTCGATCCCCTGCCGACGCGTGCGTCACACCTGATATAATAAAAAAAAAATAGTATGAATGGTATACAACTACTCATCTCAATCAATCAGTAGTATATAGTTTTGTGAATAAATTAACTTTAGTGTCTACGTGATATTTCTGATTAAAACGCTTTTATACTACTGCTGCTATATTTTTATATTTATTATTTTTACGTTTATAAGGTATGGAAACATAAGCGATCATTGGTGGAAAAAATGATTTCTTCTTCACATAGTGATGATAAGCGATACAATTTAATTTCTAGTCATGAAAATCATCAATTAACTCTTTATAATCAAGATGAATTAAATCTTTCCACCTCAATAAACACAAACCATATCATCAGTACAAACATGTGTCTCTGTGATAATGGAATTCATTTAGCTTCTAATGATCATACAGAAAATGTTACACTGAATACAGAACACCTATTAGCTGAATGCTTACATTTTACACTACTTCATGCTATTCCATCAATGACGTTGACAACAATCTCTACACTATCAGGTTTACTAGTCAATTTGCTCTCATCAATTGTTGCTATTCAACGTTTTACTATATTTGCTAGTCTTGTTATAACTTGTAATTATATATTTGTATTTGTCGTAGTTACACCGATGGTAGTTATTCTAGCAGAATCCAAGTGTTCTCTGTCACTACTGCATCATTGTATTCCTCTTTATATTTCTAAAGCATATCAAGGCGTGTTGAAGAAATGTCACCAGTTAGCCTTCTTATTCAATAAACTGATTATTGATTTACATTTCCTCTCTCCAATTATAATTATCGCTTCTCTCTCATTTACAAGTTATCAGTTATTATGGTTACGAAAATTTGATATACCTCATGACTATGATTCTACATTTCTCCGTCCAAATCATCCACTGGAGCTATTCACACGTCATGATGTCAGTCAATTCTGGACTGAACGTCATTTACACCAGTATCAAAATTTATTAAAAATCAATTTTGTATGGGGTCCTCAACGCCACACTACTGATAATCGTACTGTACTGAAGTATAATCATGATAATGTTCACAGTGGTGTCAAACTACTGCTTGATTCAACAATGAATTTCACCTCAACAGATTCACGTCTATGGTTCTCCAGTTTTTGTAATGAATTAAAACGTATGCCATACTTATTTCAATCATTACCGACAAATTTTCGTCAGTATAGTTTAAATTCATTTCAATTGTATCATTTAAATCCTTTAGTAGCATTGCCTGTTTGGTGTCCATTTGGTCGTTATATTAATTCACTGGATAATTATATACTTTCAAGAGATTGTAAATCAATTATTAAAAGGAGTGCTTGTTGTATGAATCACAGAACACCTATCCTATTGTATAATTCTTCTGTTACAACTTTTATCCATTGTCTGTATGAGTATGCTTCTCATGAAGGTGAACAATACCAACATCGACATTTATCCGGGTTTCGTTTTATGCCTAAGCGTGGAGTGGATTTCAGTGAACCTGTGGGATTTACTGTCAGTGCATTAACTAATATCGCATTGATTTCGGCATCACATACACATATACAACAAGCGATAGAAAATATAACTATATGGTTTAATAATTTATTAGCAAATGCTCCCCAATCATTACATCATGGTTTTATAGCTATACCTGAATTGGAAAAATTTGAAATTATAACAAATATTACACAATATGTATATCAAAGTATAATAATTGCTGTTTGTATAGCTAGTTTATTAATACTTGTTATTAGTAGAAATATTATCCTTTCATTGTTATCGTTAATATGTTTAACTAGTTGCCTTATGTTATGTCTGACTATACTATCATGTTTAGATAATTGGGCATTAGGTATGATTGAAGGTTTAGTGATAAGTTTGGCTGCTGGTCTTGCTATTGATCCATGTATACACTTAGCGTATGCTATCTGTAAAAATAACACAAGAAATACACAGAAAGGCTGTAAACAGTCTATCTGTTCACGTAGTGTCTTACTGTCAGTGTTAACTTCATTGGGGTCAGCTATTACAGGATCAGCGTGGACTAGTGCAATTACTGGTATACCAATGATATTTTCAAGTTTACTTTGTTATCATCAAATTGGTGCATTTCTTACTACTCTGATGTTTTGTTCATGGTTATTTTGTTATATTATTTTGTCTGGTATTCTTGCATTTATTGATTGGATTGTCACGTATTATCAGTCAGTCTAAACGTATACTTGTCACTTTTATTGTATCATTTACTTTATATATATGTGCCTTTATAAGCGCTTTCATAATTGAATTCAAGTCAATGAAGCTGTTTTGAAAGACCGCATTTAATTTTGTAAATACATATATTACTTTCAATTAGATTGCTTTAAAGTTGCTTGTTTTCAAAAATACGTTTCACATTTAACTACCATTCGCTGATGAGTGCCAACGAGCATCAAAATCTAGAATCGCGGCTTTACGCCGATTCCTTCCAATCAAGTTACGCGAACTAATATCGGCTAGGTTCGCCTGGTCAAAATTTTGTTGTGTGGTATGTGAAATTAGAAGTGTTGAACGGAATCCATTCATACGCAAGATACTGCCGTCTTAAACGGTCAGGCGAAATTTTTAGGGAAAGATGGAATATACAATTTTGTGACGCTTCTACAGTGGCGACTAAACGACGACAGTAATTTCAGTCTTTAACCTTTAAGAAGCTTTTGGTTGTAACGAGAATGTTAGTGAGAGCTAGTGGATTTCTGTCGCTTCATCCGAACTGATAGACGCAAGAAGACTGATTCCTCGCGGTTCTGAACATGATGAGGAGCGAAAGCTGCTGACTAAAATCCTCTGCAACAATCGTGAACAGCGGTGACACCAGACAATTATTATTATTAGAGAAATAAGTTGTGAAAGATAAGTGATAATCAAGATTGGCTCCGAAAAAAGTAGCACCTTAATTCGCTGTCACGATAGAAGACCATTTCCTGCACAATTGAAGCTTGAGCGGAATAACTTAATTAAAAGTTAGTTGACTTTAGAAGTCCTGATTGATAGGAGGCGGCTAAAATTAGAACCAATATTTTTAAGCTATTGGTTACTGAAGTAGATTTTGTGCCTCAATATTGTTGTTACGTGGCCAAGATGATTTAATCGGACAATCTTTGACTTTATATGGACAATCAAATTAGTTTATTTTACCACTGACCTAGTATAGTTTTATGTTTGAAAGTGTTTATGTGCATAATGAATTTTTTGTCTAATACAGTTTCCCTCTAAGGTGGTGGTATATTCGGGGCCTAATGAAGCAGGTTATTTGATAGAGGACAGTTATATTCAGATGATTGGCCTATCGCATTTCGGTGACCTTATTACCATCTACGTATAAACCCGTTCCAGATTCAACATTGATGTACAATCCACTGGTATGAGTTGTCTTGTTCTATGTATAAAGGATAAGAAACTACAGATGGTGATGATAATAAACAATTGTTTTGTTTCTAAATAGTACAATTTATTTGGAATTATTCACCCGGATGGCTTTGATACAATGAAAGTCATCTTTGGATATAAAGTTAACTGTTACTAGAAGCTTAGAAAGATTCAAACACCCGTTTATGTGAGCTTTCACTGCTTAAGATTCTGTGTCACATCTTTAAACAATTGAATTATTTCGTTCAACTAACATCACAGTAATTCAGCTAAATTGGCGATTGGTTAATACTTCAAATACTACTACTAGTTACATTATACAGCGCCAATAAACCTGGATATCTATGAAATAACGAAAATATGCTGACAGCTGCATTTCAGATCCCACTGACTCATTCGATGGTAATATTCTGCTCCTGCATGCCTCTTTCGACATTTTGTATGGATTGGTTCGCAGTTATTCTGGTTCCAGACCGAAAAGAATCAAAAATCAACCGGTTGCTGAATTATTAATACTTCTCTGCATGTTTAACTGGATACTAACTACTGTGGTGAGCCTCTTGCAGATTATATTGCTTAAAACATCGTTTACGGTAAACTAACTAACGTTTTACAAGCCATTTTTATACTTTTGTGAGTAGCCCACCATATCGACCAAATGTAACGCAACACTCAGTTGTTACGCTCATTTTCGACAAATTCAAACAATAATGGTGCCTAGGATTATGCCATATAAATTGTTTTAACTTATGCAGAGTGTGCTTACTGTCATTATTCCATTATTTTCCCTTGTATATATATCTTGTGTCAGTGAAAAATTTTAAACATGCTTACTCCATGTGTATATTATTATCATATTGATGATGCCTGTCAACTGGAGTCCCTCATGTGCATAAAGTGAGAATATATTATTATAAGACGCATTTTATTGTTTTATGAGGGAATTGACTTCAAGCTTTATTTATTTTTCCAAGTATCTGTGATCCATCCAACGCATACTTGGGTTTTGTTGTTAATGCGAAGTCAATATCTCTATATTTCTTGATGTGGTCCATTGAATCACTAGTTATCAGATTTTTCCCACAAACTAAAGATAAAATGACAGCAACCATGTTATTTAACCGTAAATCATGTAATTTAAATATGTAACTTAAATAATACTTATCCATGCCTATACAACTGGTGTGTCCTACATTTGTAGGAATAAATATGTACCTTATTACATTATCATTACTAACTATACTTACTAATCGTAAATGTAATTTGTCGAATTGATGATGCCTGTAAACTGGCGTCCCTCATGTACAAAAATGAGAATATATTATTATTAGTCACTAGTTTTTAAGTTCGATCACGAACTAACTTCATTTGGAAAATCACTGGGAAGCAGGAATTATTAGACAACTATTTCCTCCTGATTTAGGACTCTCTAGCAGTCCCATAAATGATAACAGTCTGTGACCTAACATGAAACTAACTAAATCCATGTAAACCAACAATTGAAAAATAATCCTAGTACTGACCAGCAACTATCTACAGGATGGAGTTCTAGTGAGAAGTCATGACCAGTGGGTCGCACTAAGTCAGGTGTGACGGCAGATACTCGTCTATGATATACCTGTCATATTCCGCTGGTACCTTACGAGAATCGTTCTGTTTAGCAAAATAAACTTTAAATAAGTCTTCGTAGAGCTGATGCCATGTATCAAAAGTGACATTTGCACCTGCATCACAGCTGAACCGTGTAGTGCTATTTGCGATTCCGTCGACAGATGGTGCAATGGTAGGAACAAGAGTGACTGATGGTGAAGTTGAACCAATCTGTGTATTGGTGAACATTTCCATCAATAATTCCAGTTTTGAAGGATCCATATCGCGAACATGTTACGATGCCGCCGAGTGTGAAGACAAATGCTAATTTATGACATGGGCACTTGATAATTTTCCTGGTCAATTATCCCCGACCTGAACTAGTAAAATTCAGAAGACTCACACAGTATGGTTGGAAAGGTGTATTCCCGAACATAGATCCAGTCATAAGCTTGAACAGTAGGCATTGACTGTATGGTGAAATTTGCTTGGTTCACGCCCATCATGCGACATGTGATTTCAGGATTGATAACGCGCTGATATCAGTTCGCTAACCATTGGAAAACCAGAGAATACTGGACGACTGGTTCTTCTTAATTTGGGACTCTTCGACAGAACGCATCCACCGGGGTTCGGACCCAGGACTTTCTGATTACCAGACAAGCTCTAGACCTTTCAACCATTAAAGCTTGACCTAATGATCTATGAATCCCAGCTTCTGTCATTTCGTGATATATTTGGCGCAATCACCAGCTATTGTCACAGGCGAGTAACTGCCTTCCTGCCTGATCTGCAACCAATCAAATCCCTTCAAATCAACACTCGATAGCATGTGATTAGTTTTCATCTGACTAACAGCCTTATGAGATAAACTGTGGGTAAATGTCAGTAATAACGAAGAAAATTTAGTTAACAAACTTTGTACACTTTACAGTATGAAAAATAAAGAAAGAATGAGTATTAATCAACATTTTACAGAATTTATGGATTTAAAATACGTATTTGTTTAACAAGAGTTGAAGGGCTATCAGGCTTTAAGAAAACAGTATTCCGTGTGCATAAATCTAATTGTGCAAGTGCTGCTTCAATTTGTTCTTGTACACTGGCATCTTTTTCAATAGATCTACGCGTTGATAATAATCGATTTAAATCACGTAGTATATCTTCAGGAATCCATGATGGTATCCGAGCATTTTCATCATTACCACATACAAATATAGATCGAGCTAGATAAGCTGCAGCTTTACGAACAATATGTGATGTATCTTGACAAAGATGAATTTCTATTAACGTAAATATCTGTAAGGGGAATAACATTATAAAATGAAAAGAATATTTAGAGCACATAATGCAAAAGAAGAAAGAAACAATAAATGAGAATATTATTTTATTCAACCACGAGAGGTGTTTTCTCTGATCTCATTGTGTGAAAAAAAAATTCTACAATGATAGATAATACATATTTCCAGGACTATATGAGTCCGTTTTACTTCTTGGATTCTCTTCAACTGCATGCATCCTAACCAAAATCAATCAGCCAGTCAAGTTACAAAATCTCTGAACATACTTTTTACAATGGTTTCGAGTTATAGATAGGAATTATAGGCGACATAATTACAAAAATGATGTTAGTAGACGAATTATTCAGTGTCAGACGAGTTTTTATCTGACTAGCGTGCATAGGGGAAGAAGTATTTTCAAGAAGCGAGAAAAGAATTAAGAGTGCATTGGATAGCCCATCAAAAGTAGACAAGTATGCTGCTTGTGTCAACTCCAAGTGTATTTACCAATTCACTTGTACTTGCGGCAGCAAGTATATATAGGAAAGAGTGAGAGAAGAGCGTCTACTAGATATCCTGAGCATATTCCTAAGAGTCTCTACACGAAATGCAGCAAACTCTTCTCAAGTGTAATTGCTAGACACCTAATTGACACGGGAAATACAGTGGCAATTAGTCAGGCTTTCAAAATAGTCAGTACACAAAGGAAACCATGGTTATTTCGGTTTGCAGAAGCAATTGCCATCAAAAAAACTTCAACCCAACACTTATGCACACAAAAAGAGTGTTTGGCTAATCGCTCACTATCCCGGTAACTACAATTGTTTTGTCTGTGTGTTTTTGTATTTTGTCCTAATGCATAACATTCCACCCAATCTTGATTTTGATGTTCACTCACTTAGGTGAACTCGCCATTAAGGTGTCCTTGAAATACAAACGCAATCTAATAAAGTGCTTGGTCCACAGAGCAAGAGAGATTTGCTCGGATGAATGTCTTGACGAGGAGCTTAACAATATTAAACGGTTGCTAAGTGAGAATGGTTATCCCGAAAAGTTTATTGATAAGAATATGAATCTAAAACCAAAACAGTCCAAGTTACCAACAGTTCCAAAGAAAGCCTTGTTCTTACAGATGCAGTTCCTAGGCGACAACACAAGTGAAATACTAACACATCGCCTCAGAAATGCGGTAAAAAGAGCATTTCCCACTGCTCAATTACGCTGTATCTTTAAAATCACTCCTCTTCTGCGTTCGGGAATAAAAGACAAACTGCCTAATTTCGCCTCTTCCATGTGTATATACCAGTTTAACTGCTCCTGTGGAGCCAGTTACATAGGCCGTACAATTAGGCGTGTTTCTCGTCGAATTTCCGAACATCACCCTGCCTGGTTAAGCAAAGGTCAAACAAAATCTATTCTCAGCGCTATTCTGGCGCATCTTGTGGAGACAGAACACAAGATTGACGTTAATCATGCTTTCAGGGTCATTTACCGCATACCTATGAATCTCAATTTCGCTTTAAGAGTTCGACTTCTAAATATTGCTGAGGCTGTGGGGATTCATATTAATAAGCCTAATTTATGCACCCAAAAGAAGTTAGTTCAGTCATTATCATTACCTTGGCCATCCAGGTTTGAATAATCCAGAATTTTTGTGAAATTTCCCTAATTTTAGTTGATATTCTATTCGCTGTTATATCTTTATTATTATTATAATTTAAGCATCTTTAATGAACTGCAATAGCATTGACCATACTTTACAAATCGATATTATTTAAAAAAACGCTAATATTGTTATTAACTACTAATTTAAAATATTCTGTGTATATAAACATATATATAATTGTAGAGCCTGGAAGAGGAATTTATCGAAAAGAATATTCTTTGCTCGATTATTTTGTGTTTTATAGATGTCTGAATGAATATTTTTGCAATATTAAAATAAATTATTTTATCTATTTTATAATTCGACTTTACTATTCACTTCCATCCTCCTGAACTCTTTATCATAACATGTATAAATTCACTCTGTTCTTCTATCTTGTATTTTGTCTCTAGTCCATCGTTGTTTCTAAGCGGAATCTGAACTCTACCCACCTTGTCTAATTACTCTATTAATAGTTACTCTTTAAACACTGAATAATTCGTCTACTAACATCATTTTTGTAATTATATTGCCTATAATTCCAATGTATAACTCGAAATCATTGTAAAAAGTATGTTCAGAGATTTTGTAACCTGATTGGTTGATTGATTTTGGTTAGGATGTACGCAGCTGAAGAGAACCCACGAAATAAAACGAGCTCGTATTATCTTGGACATATATTCGTTCTTTCTTTATTCAAATTAATAACAGGAATCGATGGTATGAGATGGGAAATACGTTAATATATGCATTTACATAGCTGTAGTGAATATTAACTGTAATGAAGAAACTAAAGGAAATAAGTCTTATGTCAACTCTCACTTATGTAGACTATATTGTTTTAAAGACAGGGTCAAAAAAGTGGGATGGGAGCTCCATTATTCTGAAATCAGTGTGGAAATCTGCAGCACTCTGCATAAGGGACCAGATCCGAACCTTCAACATTAATGTGAAATCAGTGTGTGTTTCTCTGTATGGTTCAGACTTGGCGCCTCACCATTACATATTTTAAGCAGCTGTCTGCACACTTTTATCAACAACTGCTTTCACTGACCGGAAACTGATGATCAGATGGCTAGGAAAGATAAACAACAAGCAGCTTTGACAACGAACTAGCCAACAACCTATCGCCCAACAAAAATACAGGAAGAAATGGGGTGGACACATGCTGAGGACACCGTCGCAAGTGAGGTCCTCGAGTGGAACTCGGATTGGAAACGACGAGTTGGGTGCAGATCCAAGGGTGATATGGAGGAGATCGTGTGAGAAGAAAATAAAAGCTTATGGACAATTGTGAAGCTAGCTAAAAAAAGAGTGAAGGAAAAGGGTGAAATGGAGATGTGCTGTTGAAGACCTACGTTCCACCCAAATTCCAAGGGGATAATACTGATTTCAAGTTGAACCGTTCATTCAACAAACATATGAAGAGTTATAAATATCTCATTAAAAACAAATCGATCAGAAAGAATAGAATGGTTCATTATGGTATTCACTTCATCACATAAAATTATTCAAGAAGAAGTGATCCCAATGATGACGCCTAAAATAATATCGGATTGCCTACCAAAAAAATTCACGTGTAAGAGTAGAATTTTGTATGACTCTACTTCCTACTGTCTTCTGTTGCAAATCTCATTATATCCGATCCAAGGCATTGCATCACTTTGATTGGACGTGATGACCCAATGAAAAACATCCAATGGTTAAACTCTCTCTCTCTCTATCTCTCCACACAACTATAGAATAAAAGTATTAAAAAAATACTAAATATCACATCTCTATTTTATTTACTAAACGTGTGCTGATCAGCAGTTTGCTGTGTATTTTTTTATGGCTGTAGCACATAGTCATTGAAAGTGAGTGATATGAAGAGACTAGTTATCTTCGACAACAGATATTTGCTTCCTGTCACTTGTATTACATGTTATTAAGGTTTGGTGTAGTGTTAGGAAAGGAGAGAAGATTAATCGATGAGAGTGTAAAGCTGTATCGATTCACATGGATAGGACACGTGTTGCAAACGCGAAGCTATCACCTTCATCGAAACACATTAACTAACATAATATTTTGTTAGAAAAGAGTTGGAAATGGTTAAATAAAGAGAAATGTCATCAATCCATGAAGTCTTCGACTGTATATGTATATGTTTGAACCACGAAGAGAGGTGTACAGTATATGATTGCTACAATGGAGGTGATAAGAAGCAGAGGTTAGAGACTACATTGTTCTGAATGGCACAGATTCACTGGTCATTTAAGAAATCATAGATCTATTCCGGATGTGCGTATTCTTTGTTCAGTAGATTTCAGTTTATTATAGTTCCTTCGAATTTTTTTCTACACCTTCGTGTGCTATATAGAGTGTGATAAACCTGAACTGAAGCAGCTGTACACTGTCTAGACATGCTTATTGAAATATACCGTCGTGGTTGTTAAAAGAGGAATACAGTAGAGTACAGTACATAGTCGATAGTGGTGTTCAACCATGGCAGTGAAAGGAGTTATATTTACATTTTCATTTTACAGCAGAAAAAAAGTATTCTTATTCATAAAAGGAAACCTGAAGTTATATTCCATCTCTTTTATCAAGAAAATTTTAAATTTTCATCTTCTTGACTTATTCTACGGTAGTTTTTCTGTAATTTATCTTTATTTTCCTTGCTACATTTAATCTCTTCGTATGATATTGAACCGTTTTAAAACTCCTTTGATAATTTTCACAACGTATTGTGGTGAGTGCTACTGGTAAAATCCATCAGTAGTATATAAAGAGACATTCATCGGCATAAAAACATTACATGTAATTTCAGAGAAGGCGAATGATACAGCGCTGTCGAGATACATGGGAGACGTGAAAGAAACACAACATGAAGTCCAGAAGTACCACAACACAAAGATCTGTGCTAATGGTGCGTCGAAGATAAGGGGTGTACATAATTTAGCTATATATAGAGATATCAATTTCCAAATAATCATTCCTTTACGACGTCTTCGTCTTCTACCGTTTCAATATGATATTCCTGAATGTCGTTTTGGTAGGCGGTGGTCGAATTTCAAATCAGGATAAGTGATGGCGTTCCTTCTACAACTTTAAATCGATATCCATCGTGTTCAACGTGAAAGAAAGCTTCCGTGCAATGGATCCTAGATTCCATACGACAACTTAACGATAAAGCTCCAATGAGAGTTTACAGAAAGAAAATGTTGTCTTCATTCTTTCATCATTGTCTAGCGCATATGAATATTCTTTATACTTCAAATTAAAAATTATTGTAAAGTGACAACAAACTATAATCTCAGTGTTTGACTCAATGGTGAATAACTACTAACTCAGTTTGATACAGAAATAAGTAGAGTAGATGACAGCGTGCTTACCTCATATATAATTGGGTGAATGGCGTACTTCAATAAACGGACAAGTTCAGCAATATTTGAAAGACAAGCTGCTCTTATCAATTCATCAGATGATTTACATCCAATAACAAAAGTGTTGAATACTTCTGTACGATATTTTGGTGCCATATCACCTTCAAGTAATCAACAATAAAAATGAATAAAATCGATTAAGAGAATACAACTGAATATAAAGTCAGATTTGTAGGCTTACAACAGACAAGAAAAAAAATACCATCAAGAAACATAAGTGAAATGGTGTTGCAGTAAAGAAATTGACTGTAAAACGAATTAATACACTTACAAACTGATCAGTTTCTATAAGACATTTCTTAAACGATAATTTTAGATTTGATCACAAATTCAAATCAGTCAGTGAATGATTGGAAAATCTGGGAGTACTGGAAAACTGTTTCGTCCCAGTTTAAGACTCCTCAGAGGTAGGCGCCTACCGGGGTTCAAACTCAGGACCTTGTGGTTACAAGGTGAGCTCGTAGACCATCCAGCAACTGGGACCCGATTTAATTGGCCCATGAATTTCAACTTCTATGAGTAACTGTTCTCTTACCTGACTTGATAGACCCCACTCCCAGGGTTTCCAATGGTCCACTTACTGATATCAACTAGTAATCAAACTCAAATCCCTGCAAACCAACACTTGATAATTTTAGATTTGTTAACACTAGCTGTATGTTTACATATCATAAAGTGGCTTCCTACTTCATCAACTGTAAGGTCTTATGTCAGTCTTTTGCTGACAGGAATGCTTGTTCAGTGAACCATTTTGCTAAAGATCTCCAAATTGTACTACTTGATAAGCTATCTGCTTCAGTGGTACACTGTCAGAATCCTAGCCAGCCACACACTTGGTACGAGTGAGATTCTCGACTGAGGTCTTCCTGAACCTTGCCTAGTTTATTAGTCAGTAGTAAGCTCGGTAAAAGAGAAGGTGGGCGTGAGGAAAGTAACCTTAACCCGTCAAAACGACAGCAGCGCTACCTTAAAATCAGCTAACCAGAAATACAGAACAAGGCTATTGAGAGAGAAATATCTAAAATGCGGAAGAAACTATAGGATCAGTCCATTATTATGAACATCTTAAGCCGTTCTTCCAAAAAAAGCATGAAGATGGTATGCACCTTTCTACGATCTATATTGGATATGCCAAACTCACATTACAATTATACTGTGAAGTGGCTTGTTGAACTGTGTGAATGTAGTCTTTCGAATACTTTTAACCTCGTAATTTGCATTGACGGAATTAATATGACCGGTGAACATTTGATTTTACTAGAGATGTTTATTCTCTACTAGCAAATATACCAATAATCGAAAGTATTTGCTATTGATATGATTACACTGATTTTAAAAACATAAACATTAGAATACCAATTAACTACTTAAAGGGGCTGTTATTAAGATACACATCCAATGTGCAATTATGACTTAATGATGTCATTTATAATCAAAAGGGACGAAGTTGACACACAGTCTCCTTCAGGACGTCTTCTAGCTGGTTTCTTCAAGCGAAATTAGGAAATGATCCATGGGTAGAAATAATCTCGCTTCTGCATGCATAAAAAAAGTATATATGTTAACTATCTTTATCCTTATCTTGGGTGCGTCGGTGGCACAGCAGTAGAATGCTCGTCAACCACGCCTTATATGGTCCGGGGTTCGATCCCCGGCCGACGCACTCCTTTACCTCACTAAACCAGTAACTTGTAAAGAGGGAAGGTTGGGCATGAGGCTAGCAACCACATCCCGTAAAAGTAACCAGCACTGCTACCAAAACTTCAAGCCTCTAGCTTGAAGCCTTATGTTCCACTGCGATAGTAAAGGAATAAAAAAATATGTATATTAACTGAGCAATTTTTGGTGCCACTACGATTTTTTTCTGTAATATAATGAATACGACTGAATATAGCTTTAAAATGAAGCCGTTTCCAACAGAAATATGTCTTCTCTGAAGTAAACGCATGTCAATCCATGACCGGAACTTGAAGCAAATCAAATCCTTACAAATTAGCTCTTGAAAATTAATCTGACGTTCACTAGTGACTGACTGAGTGACTACAGAACGAATTCGCCTGCAGTTCTAGTCAGCAGTTGTGACCAGTGCGGTATACCAGGTTAGGTGTGACGACAAATACTCGCCAACGACAATGACTGGTAGTCACGCTAAAAGTCGCAAGTTGGGATAAGTTACAATTCATGGACCACTGGGGTTCTGACCCAAGTGGTTGAATAGTCAACGAGCTTAGCGTAGTAACGTCAACGTGACGGGTTCGATCCCTAAAGCGGTCTTGGGAGCGTATTGGTGAACATTTTCAAACTAGGACAAAACAGCTGTCCATTACTCCCTAACTTTCAATGGTTGGCTAACTAACACCAATCCGTGAAAAAAATCCTAGAAACTCAATCTTGGGAATTCAACTGTGTTTTTCCATATTAATGAATACATGAATATATATATGGTGGATGTACAAATACAATAAGAATAATTTAAGCTTACCCAAATTTGATAAAATACGCATTACAGACTCAGTTAGTTTAAGTTTATATTCAATATTGTGATCATCATTGGTGTAAATGTTTATCTGTTTATTTGCTGTTGTTGTATCTGTAGTTGTGGTTTGTGTGGAATGGTGTATACTTTTGCAGAATTGATTTAATAACAAATTCAATACTTTATCTGTTAGAATACGTCCCATTGCTGATAAGCATCGTATAGCATTCAAATAAATATAACTATCTGTATGCGATAAATAATTAGTTAATACCTAAGCGGATGATACAGAAGGGAGGAGAAGCAAAATAGAACAAAACACATTATGAATAAATTAATGTAATAAGGATGTCAACTGACTGACAGTGGTTAGCATTGGAGTCCAAGATGCGTAGTTCTTCCCGTCTGAGACTAAGCAGACTAACCTTTATATCCCAGTTGGATGATGATATCCCCATTGAAACTCGAGTCCTTAACCCCATATCAGGAGGAAATGTTCATCCTGGGCTCCACTGCTAACCATTATCAACCAAATAACGTCATGTTAATCTTCAGATGTCTCCAAAGTGTCTGTATAAGGAGCCGACTGGGGTGAAGTTTGACTATAGAATGCTTGAGTAGAGCTACTAACAGTTATATATTCCGTCGCATTATTAATCGCAAGCGAGCAAAGTGTCAGGGACGGCAACCACTTACTGGGTGTTGCGACATGCTTTCAGAGCTTCAGCTGCTGAACCAAAGACGCTCTCGTGTCAACTCTTCAATGGTATCAGCATTGCACAGATATTACCTCATGAAAAATGGAAAATGCAAATGCATCATTAGGGGAGGAGACGATGTGACGGTAGCGCATATCGGTAGAACTGTCCTGATAAAAAGAAAGTATAGTCGAGGTTATCAAACTGCAAATAAAGTCTGGGTGCTTGGTTTATACGACCCAACCGTACGGTAGGGATTTAAGGAAAAAAAACAACATCGGAAATTGACTACTTTAATCCCGATAATTGCTAAATTGGTGAAGACAAGATCCGGAATACATACCGATAAGTAGGGTGGGTACAACAGTTTACACTCACTTGGTTGTATCTGCTATAAAGGAATTCGTAGACTCCCGTGCTGGTACGCACACTAATTCACTAGAGGTATTCTGGAGGAGATTAAGGAACAGGATTTGAGAGATAATTGGGTCTCAAAACTACGTCATCTGCAAGAATATATGTGTATGGAATTTGGTTTAACTTTTCAATTAAGACTCCGATAATAAATTGGAACATCTTTCTGTCACCTAGCAAAGAAAGGTGCACTGCATAAACGTCTTCATGTCTTAATATTCATTTATTTCATAAATATATTTAATTTTTATGCGATTGGTACCTTTACTCCCATATGAATGAGATGGAACTTAAGGAAATCATCATGCCATGTAGACGAATTTCTCCATTTCTGACCGTGGATTTATCCATATCGAAAAGTATCAGGTACGATAACATTATAATTTAATGTTATTTCGGATTTGAAAATTAAACTTTTACGAACATTTTTTAGATCCGATCATGTTGACTACAGATAGACAGTGAATGGAATTATTTTGTCAAAAATTGATTTCTTGTATTCCAAGTCAAACATTGAGATTTAAGCTTTGTGGTTTCGGTACCAAAGGTGTTTTTTTCATGATTTGGGATCGGCAGTTTCAAACATGACCTTCTGTCTTTCCTGGGATTACTACTGCCTACAACAACAGGCGAGATTGAGGAGCGAGTCGACTGGGAATCGAACTTCAACCTCCCAAGTGGTTGGAGAGTATTCTACCACTGAACTATCGGTGTACTGAATGTACTGATATTTATTGAGCGTCATTTGTTCTTTTACTGAAGATAGATTCAATAATAAAGACTATATTGACAAAAGGATAAAGTTTGAAAGTTGTTTACTCCAGCCATCATCAAAACTTCCTAATTTTCTATATTTGTACAGCTTAGAGAATATGTTTACTCTTATTTTTGTCAAGAGCTAAGACAATTTGTAGAACTGTAGGAGACTAGAGGATGATAGACAGTTGTTTCGTCTCAGTTTGATACTCTTCATCTGTATTTACCAATAGTGCCAGCAAGGATCAAACTAAGGACCTTCAGGTCACAAGACGAGCACTATTCACTCAGCTATCGAAGTTGGGACCCAATGACCAGTGAATTCTAACTTCAGTCTTAAAATGAAAACTTTCGAACAACTAATCATCCCAGTATGATAAAAGAATGAACATAAATATTAAAGAAAATTTGCAGCTCAGGTGAATGATATTGGTATAGTTGTGTTCCCTGAGCTGGATGATGGTTTAGCTACGAAAATTCCGTTTTCTCTGTATACAATATGTTCGGCGCTGACTTTAATGTGAATGATTAGTTTCACTCAATGGACGTGAACATATCATATTAATACTAGTGAGAAGTTGTGACTGGTGATGTCCACTCGATCGAGAGTGAGGAAAAATACTCGCCGATTACATTGGCTGGTAGTTGCGTTAAAATCACTAATTGGTAGAAGTTAGAATTCATGGGCCATTGAGTGGCTCCCAATGGCTGAATGGTCTACGAGCTTGTCTTGTAACTAGGAGACCCTGGGTTCGACCTCTGGCGGGAGCGTGCCGATGATGAGTCCCCAACTAGGATTAAACAACTATCCAGTAGTGCCTAGCTTTCAGTGGTTTTCTAGCTGATATCAATCCATGGTCAAACTTGAAACAAATCGAATCCCTGCAAACTAACTCTTGAAAACGAGTAAAGCATTGGAAAGTCAATTCAGTACTTTTATAAGCTTCAGTGAATTGGCGCACGCGTAACCAAAAAGCACTTTCGACAACCTCCTGCACACTTTTGGTTAACGCCGAGTTTCTATCGCTCGATACTGAAGATCAGGTTGCCAGGCAGGAAGGATAACCAACAAGAAACTCTGGCAACCAACCAGCCAACTACCTGCTGCAAAATAAATGTGCATCAGGAAATGGTTCTGATCTTCAATCAGAGATTGGATAAAAATCAGTTTGTTTCCTTAAGTGTAAATGTACTGAAGCATATCTAAAATATGCGCATAAAAAGATAAGAGGTTGCAAATTTTGAATGACGTCAAAAACTGTATAAGAAAGGGAAACCACTGAAATATACGTATCGTAGCAGATGGTTAAATTAACGGTGACACAGAAAGAATAAACCTCTTTTGTACAATATTCCTTTCAATACAAATGATAAGCAATAAATATATAAAATACTCACTTCAAATATAAGCTGTTCATGTCCTGTAATACATGAATCTTTGGATTCTAACAGTCGACTAAGCATAATTAGTGCATGACCTTGAACAGGAATTAAAGGATCACGTAATTCTTCAAAAATCTTTTGAAGAGATGGATCAATTGGTTGATTATTTACAGGTTGTTCAACATTTTCATTGTTTGATGTGATAACTTCTTCGATAAGTTTACACGGTTGCTTTGATTGCCTGTTGACAAGCTTAATTTCCTTTGAATCATACTTCCTAAAATGTTTATAAATAAATTTAGAATAATACTCATCAAAATTATACAGTTATATAGTAGTATGAAGTGAAGGAATTAAAAAATAGTAGTGTGATTACATTTATAATGAAAGTCTGGGAATTCAGGTATAATATGTGATACCATATAAGAAACATTTATATTTCCTCTGTGCTTCAAAGTTTCTGTAGCTAGCGATTGGATGCAACAAGAGTAAGACAGGACTGCTTACTATCACTGATGATATTCCTGAATGTGGTGGACTGGATCATGCAACAGACCGTGGGGAGCAAGAGGACAGTTATAAGTTGAACTGAAAAGAAGTTCCTAGAAGATCTGAACTTCGCGGATGATTAATGTCTAATATCGCACAAACTCGAAGGTCAACAGGGGAAAACCACCATGTTGGCCGAAGATGGTAGCAGCAAAGACAGGACTTCAAGTGAACATAGAGAAGAAAGATGTGATGAAGATAGCTAACCAACAGAAAAACAAGCGTCAATCACCATCAATGAGGGAAATATTAAGGAAGTTGTCTGCCTTCACTTATCTAGGCAGCATAGTTTCAACTACAGGTGGCACACAGATGAGGATTTCAAAGCTGACCAGGATCGAAGAAGCAAGACAGACCTCCATTATTTTGAAATCAGTGAGGAAATCTACTGCAATCAGTATAAGGAACAATATCCGAACTTTAAAAACTAATATCGAATCAGTTCTTCCAAATGGTTCACGAAAAGCATTTCCAATAAGGCTGCAAACTTTTATCGACAGCTGCCTTTGCTCCTTGCTGAAGATTAGACGGCCAGACGGCGGCGAACTCTGGGAACAAACAAACCAAGAACCTATTGCCCAGCAACTATTCCGAAAAAATGGAGGTGAATTGGATATACGCTGAGGAGACCTTTGAATGGCATCACACACCCGGCTGACCTTCGAATGGGTGGCGACGGGTTGGGCGTAGGAGTGTGATATGGAGGGGATCATGTAGGGAGGAAATGAAAGCTTATGGACAATCATCGAACCAACTAGAGAGGACTACACAGAACGGAGTGGAATGGTGATATGCTACCAAAGCCCTATGTTTCACTAGGAACCCAAGGGCATACTGACAGTATTAAGATAAGATAAATTTGATTGATGTGGAAAGGGTTGTCAAGTAGAACTTGTTAAAAATTTCACTTCAAAACTACTTCCACAGTCTTCAAATTCAATTTGAACAAAGTGATAACAAAAACATGTATGAAGTAGGATCAAAACAGATCTATTTTATTTCGTTTGGATATGTCAAAAAATGACAAAAAGGGGAATTCGTGTATGAAAACTATTTAATTGTTTTGTCAATCTATAAAGGTAACTATGTTTGTGAGAGTAAGCCTATCTAGATAATGATTTAAGTAAGCAAATACATTTTAGAGACATGCTTCTGTCTCTATCTCTTTCTCCCAACAGCCAGATGAAATGCCCAGAAATACAGTAACTTCAACACGACACTTGACTTTATTTTCTTATGCAGTAGATAGGAGTTCCTTTTGACAAGACACTCATATAAGAAGCAGAATGTTAACGTCTCACTTAGTCAGTACACATGATTGGCTGACTGACTTAGTCTCAACGTAAACCTTTCCACAGAAGTGCAGCAGTTCAAGTTGCCGAATACCATGCAGCCCATAAAAGCAGACAAAAAAAGAAATCCAAAAGAACCATAATGAGCATAAATGTGTGAGAGAAAGAATGGTAACATGACAAAACATGAGGGTTTAATGGATACGGGATATCACAGGAAATGAACTCATCTGTCCTGCTATTAGCAACAATTTTTAGTTATATCACCAGCACTCTCAAGTCAGTCATTGGTCCTTAGAAACCCCATGGATCACGCACGACCAAGCAGTCTACATCTCCCTAGGTAACTCGAACTAGCTGTCAAAGATTTCGTGAATTGCTGTAAAGTTTTGGTTTGACCACTAAAAACTCTTTTCCAGCTTAATCCTATGATGGCTAATATGACTCGACGAGGAGAGTGGTGGTGGCTTGGTATGCGCAACACCAATCCTAGCTAAACTCAATCGATGTAGCTTCACAACTTGATCAATTGATTTATCCTCCTTACCTGATGCTGTACCATAATATACCATTTAACATGGGAGACAGAACGCAAGCATCTGTGGTTAAAGACAGCTGGCTCTTTTTATATTTCTCATTTCCAACGGTCATGTCGCATAGCCATTAACAATGACAGGGTGGAGTGAGCCAGATTTCATATGAAACAAAATTATTCCACAAACTCAGAACACAATTATAAAGCTAATCAGTAAACACGCATAACAATATTAGTTTGAAAACTTACTCAGGAACAATTGAATTATTTATACAATCATCAGTTGATGATAAATTGTTACATGGGATAGCTCCACGTGTAGCTAAAGTAACTTTAATACACTGTAACAGATTTAATGTTGATGTTCCCATTCTGTTTGTCATAGGTTCAATGACACGCTCCAACTGATTTAAAACAGGCAGTAAACTAGCGAATTCATCACGAGCATTCGCCTTCCCATTATCTGCGACTGGCTGCATTTTAGAAAAAAAGGGGGAAAAGTGAAGAAATTAGATCCTACCTAAAACTCATCTTTCTTTGATCAAATACTAAGTAGTAATTAATTTCATGAGTCTGGTTCTTCGTTTGCTGTAGAGTGCAGTCAAGTAATTACCTGAGGAGTACCACCAAGAATGAAACCTAGGCCAAAGACGTCCTGAGGATTGCCTCCAACTCATCTAACAATAACTCAGAATGCACCGTGATGGTTAGTCACCTAGCATGGTGGTCACATTGCAAACCTAACTGGTAGAATTCAGTCTGCATCATCAGGGGAGGTTGATACCTAGTGTTCAATTAAAGTATCCATTACAATCCTACAGGATGTCAGTCGTCAGCCTGAATAGCTCTATGGTAACGTTTGTGACTGTAGCAATGACTGACTGACTGGTTTCAACATAGAACTTTGCACAGATGTGCAGCAGTTCGAGTTGCCACTCTCCCTCCATGTAGCACACAGAGCAAGACAAGAGAGTAAAAGAAGATTCAAAACAGAGATAACAAACAGAAATATGAGGCGAAAAGAATAGTAATATGGAAGAACAGTATAGTTTTATTGGATATGATAAATCACAAAGAGTAAATGCATCTCCACCAGCCATTGAGAACAATTTCGAGCCATATCACCGGTTGTCTACAGTCACTGGTTTTTACTATCCCGAGGACCCCAAACATCCAGGAAGTCTACACTTCCCTAGATGGCTTGCTCAAACTAACTGTTGTGGGTTTCGTTTACTGATGAAGCCATGTTTTGGTTTGACCACCACTGGCTCTTTTCCAACCTGATCCTATCTCAGCTAACATTCCCTGTCGGTCGAGGAAGGCAATGACTAGGAATACGTAACACATGTCCTAACCATCTCAATCGGTGGAATTTAACAACCTCGTCTATTGATTTCCCCTCCTTACCTAGCACTCGACGCCTCACCTCAAGGTTGCTCACCCGAGTTCAAACTCCACAAGAAACATGAGTTCCTTAAAGACTGCAGATAAGCCTCGCTGACTGGTGAGTGTCAAAAAACAAGAAACCTGGGTCGAAGACTTCCTACCGATTACCTCCAACCATCTAACAACTAAATTTATCTTTATTTATAAATTATTTGCAAATTTTATTCAGGTTTCAAACCAAATTTAAGAATCACAAAAGAAACAGAGTTTTACTGACAAACCATTCATATATCAACATAACATAAGGTACATACGTGAAACTAAGTGAAATGATACTCCACAACCACCTGCAACAACACCACGCAGTTGGTAACGTGCCACACCTACTGTGTGTGTATGAGGACCAGTGGTACTTACTCCTGGCTGTCTAAGCCTCAGTAGATGGAGACGGCTTTGAACGTATGACCCAGTGGTTAGAAGTCAAGTGTCTAGATCAATGAGCCACAGCTCCACAAGTTCAGAATAATAATTTGAAAATTTCTGGTTTCAGGTACATGACAAAAGATTTTGATATTTCCCAATGAATGAAAAAAAGCGAAATGACATTGTTTTCACTGCCGTTTTGCTATTTAGTGCATCTAATAGGTTTACCAAAGTAATAGTAAACCAGAATTTAATAAATCAAATTTGCAATGTACACTGTTCTAGATAAAGTTTCCCTACAATTCTCTTTGGTAATCAAAATTATTCAGATCACATTATGTGATCTGCTCGATACCATACCTTAAATGGTAATCAAGAAACTAAGCATAAATGCATATACTACTGATTGATTGAGATGAGTAGTTTTATACTACTCATATCAACCAGTAGTGCTTGCTAGAGCCAGCCAGCCAGCCATATCGAAGTGATTTACACACTGGACGGCCGTTCCACTGGTTTCGCCGAAGACGACCACATCGGTGGTGTACTCTGTTTGAAATGACTCGGCTCTCTGAGCTGAGTTGATAATCCTCTATCCACAAAACACATCTACACATTTGGCCAGAATAAATTAAAATAATAACGTTAATAAGCATATGAGACTAAATTATCCTTCATACATTACATAAAAATAACTCACTAATCATTAGGAAACTACAAACGACATGTATACAGAATAAAAACAAAACAAAATAATTCATATTGTAGGGGAAAATATACCACTCTTACCCCAAGTTTATTAGCATAAAATGCTAAAATACCCAATAGTTGACTTAACATCTCATGTAGAAACTCTACATATTCATGATTGTCAACATGTTGTAATAGGGACACGAAACGACTGAACAATGCCTAGAAATAATTCAAAGAAAACAAACAAGCCAACAAAGCATTGAAAATTTTTATGTGAATATCATCTTCTGAAGTACAATGAAAACGGGCATTTTCAGTTAAGAACGAATGACGCAATATTTTTCATGTTATGCAGCAAATCAAGTTGCACAGAAAGCTACTCCTAGTTCATTTATTGAGTTCTGGCAAACGGCTTCAAGTTTTAACCGTTGAATTTTCAGTGTTATTTTTAAGGGGTAGGACCACCAGTCTAACGCCTAAACTTTCCTCTTTTCCAGGATTAATATTGACTAGTAAACTAGACGAGTCTTAGGAGTGTGTCAGCCTGGATCTACGGCGTGGCTGGTAAGCATTCTACAATTGAATCAATGAATTTACATCCTAAATAAGTTTTATTTACATGTTATTCTTTAGAAATGACATCAGCATGCAAAATATTGATATATTTTGATTGGACACTAGTATCTAATGCGACGTGTGTAGTCCTTTCTTTGGTTCAGACTGAATTTTATCAGTCAGGTTTTGCAATGTGGCCACCATTCTAGGTAGCTCGCCATCACAATGCACATTGATTTGATGATATTAGATAGTTGGAGGCAATCGGCAGGAAGCCCATTCAGTTTGCACCAAGAAAAGGACTAGACACGTCACACTAGTGACTAGTGTCCAATCAAAATACCCACTACAGTCCTACAGGAGGTCAATCGCGAGCCCGAATAGCTCAGTGGCAACGTCTCTGACTGCAGCACTGCACTGGGTGACGCGGGTTCGAATCTCAGAAGGGATATGAGTTCCTTCAAGGTTGCGGATACGCCTTATTGACTGGTGAGTGACAACTAGCACGAAATCTAGGTCGAAGGCTTCCTGTGGCCGATTGTCTGCAACTATCTAATATCATACTGATATATATATATGTATATATATATATATATATATGTACTGGTTAAAAGTTGATCGCCTACACATAACACTTCAAGTACTATTCAGTAATCAATGACAATGTGAATGCGTTTTTTGTATTACGACATTAGGAATTATACATCTCCCTCTCTACTTTATTTATTCTATACTGCTCTTCGTTTATTTTCCCCGTATTTCTCCTTGTTCATTGCTCGATATTACTCACGATATCATACTACTTAGCACGACAGATACAATGATCAAAGACAACTGGTGTCTTCATGCCTTCTATTTTCAACGGCCATTATATCTGACAGCTATAATGGAGGAAAGAACGAACCGGTGCAAAGTATACACGTCCTTTGATCGATAGCCGGATCCCACGTGTACACCAAAGATGATGCAAGTTTGCACATGCTACATGAGACTTTGGTATCAGTGCTGAGATTTTCTTTTTGTCAAGAGTCAGTTCACTAGGGCTAACACAATTTCACAAATAAGTGAAGTGGTCAACATGCTCTACCACTTCACTCCCTATATTTAAAGCAAGGAGTCGGTGTATGTAGTCGTAGACACAGTATTAATAATTGGATGACGTTCCGAGCACATTCTATCGCTCATCATCTTATTAATGTGTTCACACAACTTTTCAACTTGCTTTGCATAGTTTTTTTTAATCCCTCTACTCTTAAATCAAAAAATGTTATCGTCATACTGGTCGATGCAATTTCGAACAGGTATATATACATATACATGACGTTTTTAACAGAAATATGATCATACCTGGAATAAATTACACGCTTGATTTACATCCTGAGGCCAAATTAAATCATCTAAGCTTTCAAGCATAGCAGATGCAAGCAGTGCGCAAACAGTACCAGTCTCAGTAATGGAGCATTTCTCATCTTGTGATATATTAACTTTATTCAATGACTCAAAAATAGCTTGAGAGGTAAAATGTATATCCTAAAATATTGAAAGAAGTAAAAAGAAAAAGAATTATGGAAAAAGTTATATTTCTGTCTACACTGATATGTGAAGTATTATTATAATTCTACATTAGTTAAATATGTATTAAAATGACTAAGAAATTGTTGAGTAGGAAGTGAACAACATCAATACCGAGATTAATTTAAGTCATACTACAAAAATGATAAGTATCTACATAAAAAGGTGGTAATACAGGTTTGTATTCGCATATATAAAATACTATTTATTCATTAAAACACAGACTTGGTATATTATGAACACCAAAAGATGCGCCACACAAAATCTTATCGTGTCTGTAAGGACTGAGATACTGCTCAGGGGCCCAGATAGAAACATGTGGTTGTTTTAAGAGGCCACCCTCCTCTCTGTGCCTTAAAGTTCAGGTCTCATCCACAAGGTAGTGGAGCAGCGTTCCTATGGTTGGTAGTGACCAAAACAGGTTCATACGCCATTCGATCCGTTTATATTCTGGAGTCTATGCACATAATAGGTTTGCAATCAGGGTTTTCCAGCTTCCTTAGACAGATGAACATGTTCACCAGTCTGGTTGTAAGCTCCACACTTTCACATTCGCCCTTTCACTTTTGTAAGAAACATCCTTGTCGCGTGAAGACAGCGAATAGGACCATAGGTGGCTGAGGCTATGTACATTCAGAAATAATATTAGTGTTATCAATCAGATACAATCAGATGGGAAATAAGATGTTTTTATAGTAATAACAAGTAACTTGTTAGAATGTTTTAATGTACGTGAATTGAAATAGAATTTTAAGATTATTTATTATCCTCCTCTGATTTGACTGGTGGCAATAATATCTTTCATATCTCTGGTATTTGCGTTGAGTCATTTCTGTTTCATGTGTTGGGTGTAGACTCGATGAACCAGGCAGGATTCAGAAATCAATCTCGCTCTACATCTCCTTATATTTCTTCTTAGAATTTTAACCCTCTCCCACCCTATTATGTGGTTGTGTGTTAATGCATGTAGTGCAATCGCTGAGTTTTTTTTCTAAATTACTTATCTTCGCGGGATCAATCATCCTACAGTTGGCTGAATTCTTATGTTCTGATAATCTGACTACACCCCATCTACTAGTTTGACGTATATAGTTGACCTCACAGTCATTACAGGGTATTTTGTAAATCATATTATCTTGTTTAATTGGGTCCACCAGGTCTTATTTCCCATTTGATTGTACTGGATTCATAACACTAATATTATTTCTGAATGTACATTATCTCATACTGATTTTTATTCTAATATCTAATCGATTCCAGACATGTATATAAATGAAAGAAAAAAGTGTGAGTAACTTGATATGATTATGAGCAATAGTTTGTGCTCGAAACGTTATCAGATAATATTACTGTACAACACTGTGTGATTTATCAAAATAAAATCTTGTCTATTATGGAGTTAAGCGTACAACTATCTTTCCTGCAACTCCTTCTCTTTCTTTTCTCATTCTTTGTGTTCTGAGACTTCAAGCTTTTGAGGTTTCAGTAGCTATGGTATCTGTTTTTACAGAGTGCAGTTAAAAGCCTTACACCCAACCTTTTCATTTTCCCCGCCTTACTATCAGTTAGTAAACTAGGCAACGTTTAGCAGTATATCGGTCGGGAATCGAACCCAAACCACCTGTGTAGTTGACAAACATTCGACTATATTGAACCACTGTTGCACTTTACCACCATTCAAAAAGATGTAATTCAAATGCCGCTTTGAGGTCGGAAAAAAATGATATAACACATGTACGCTCATTCTTAAAAACATGGTAGAAGGTCCATCAAAGACTAGAATAACTTTTACAGAATCCCTGGTAAAGTAAAAAGTTAAATTTAAAATACCTGTGAGAACTTCATGTTTCATGAAGAAAACCATTGAAATGGGGGAAAAAAACACAACTCAGATATATTTAACACAACTTACAGTAATCAAACTTAAAAATAAGTCTACATGAGTAGTTATTTCACTTTGTTGACGACTTGTTTCATTCTCTTTTTCACTTATTAAATGACGTAGATGACAGCTGACGTGTTCCTCATCAACATCATCATCACACACAGCAGTAGCAGGTGGTGTTGGACTCATACGACATAATAATACAATTAAGCAATCAATACAAGAGGATAAATTCTGTATACCATTAATAGTATGCATGCTATGATTCATTAGGACACAGGTGTATGGCACATAGATTGAGGCAGGTTTATTCGAATCAACATCGGTTACAGTTTGAGATGAAGAAAAAGACTCGACAAAGTGAACTTTCGGTAATGATTTGAACATCATGTTCTCATGACATGTATAAGCTGAAAGTAAATCGACGACTGGATTACTCGAAGAAGATAATTCATTCCGAAGTTCTAATGGCATAAATTCTAAAGATGGAAGTGGTAGGTTAAACCAACTGCGTATCAGTGATAACCGATTAAGACGAGAGATTGAACTACACGATAAGAGATTAATAAGCATCTGGATAAGAAATTCCCTAAAAAAGGGGGAAATTCAATAATTTAGTGAACATTGAAATATGCAATAACTACAATGAATATGAAAAATAATATGAATATCTTTCATATATCGGTTAACTTTAGATCGAGATTCTTTGATCAAAAATGTTTCAGTTCTATCTGCCGTGTTAAGTGGTATAATATGGTCACGAATAGAGTGTTATGTAAGGAGAGGAAACGTCAGTCAATGACTTTATGAAACTGAATCATTTGAAACGGCTCGGACACGTGTAAAGTATGCTGAACCACCGCTTAACTAGCAACAATCCATGAAGTCTTTGATTCTTGGTTTGAACTGCGCAGGGATGTGTAGACTACCAGGCTGGGATCTTCGAGAACTGTATGAACCAGTTACTTGACAGTGTTGGTGACATGACTCGAAATCGTTGTCCATTTGTGCTCTTTGCTACCTACCGAATCCATTAAGTCCTCAAGTTTCTCTGTGTACTTATTTTTCCCCCTGTTCACTTCGGTTCATTGTAGTTATTCTGGATGTTTTTCTTTTCTCTATCTTTGCATGTTATACGAAGTGTGACAAAACCTGAACTGCTGCACTTCCGCGTAAAGTTCCACGTTAAAAAAAAAACAACTCAGTCTATCAGGTGATAGTCAATAAGATGAAGTAGGGAGAAAAAGTCGTAATATCAAGACTGGCATATAGGTAATGTAAAAGAAGGGAGGTTGGCGTTGATCGTGATACAAGGAAGCAATAGACAATGGAATCTTTTTTTATCTCTGCCGAAACTTTATTATTCACCAAACCACTACAGCTAGTGCTACTACCTGAATAAACAGATTGGTCAACAAGTCTAACTACTTCATTGCCTCTCGTCAGTTTTGTTTCCAGTACAGATTAGTCCTGAAGAAGCAAGTTATAAACATTTTTGGAAGAGTTACACAACTTACACAGGAGATTCAATTTTTTACAGGTTTAATCACGAGCTGACATCAGTTAGAGAACCACTGGAAAACCAGGGAGTACTGGACAGCTCTCGTGGACCATTCAACCACTAGGACCCGATTCAATGGCCCATGAATCCCAACTCCCGCCAATTCGTGATATATACGGAGATCGCCAGCAAGTGTCATCAGCGAGTAACTGTTCTCTTATTTGAATTGGTGGACCCAGCTGGTCACGACTTCTTACTAGGACTCCAGGTAACTTCCTGTATAGGACCAATCGCTAGTGGGCATCAGATTAGGGTTCCAAACTAGGACGAAACCGTTGTCTAGTACTCCCTGATTTTCCAGTGGTTCTCCAACTGATGTCGGCCCGTGATCAAACCTGTAATCAATCAAATCCCTGCAGACTAATATTTGAAAACGCTTAATTGTATCGATGTCTTTAAGAAAACAGAACTGTTTTGTCAATATACTCATGATTAAGGCAGTCAAATAACATAAAGTTATATGTAGAAGCCTCCAAATAATCGTATTTATGATAAAGTTGAATTCAGGGTAAGAGAGTGGACAGACGTTCACAGATATTGCACTGGTAAATCCCATCAAGCTATATCACCAACAACTAATCATTTCCAATCACTACTATATTCCTAAAATGACGGAGTAAGATATCTAAAAGATTATATCAAGAAAAAAACTAATAACTGGTGTATTCCTGAATAATTAAAGACCAAATATTGCTTTGTTTGAGCCCAGATGCCTAAAGAAGAGTTCCTATGTACAAGGCTATGAAGTACACAAGTATAGTGTGAGGCCTGATGATACTACTCAGTTGCCCCTGGGATGAATTTGTTGAGGCAGGATTCGAACCAGAGGACCTGATGACCGAAAGTCAAATGCTTAAGTCAAAAAGCCACATCCACCTCACCTACCCCCACAAAAGCCCAAATGAAATAATAATGATTAGGGTTTAAACCTATGAAAGGAAAGATTACACAGCAGAGTAGATAAACTATGATAGAGTGAGCATGAAAGCACCATTTTCTTGAGGAAATGTAACAACAAAACAAACCATTTAAAATCTATTATCGTTATTAAACTTCATCAACTAACTTCAATGATGTATAACAGCTCCCTGATTCATCATTGGCTTCCTTTTCATCTTCTATAGTTTGTGCAAGTAATAAAAATAATGGTCTGGATAATTTACATATTTCTTGTACAATAACTGAAGATGGTTCAGGACAGTCCAATAGCTGATGATATAAAAAACAAAAAAAAGGATTTTCCAACTTCAGTCGACTGATCGCATTGTATGATATAAACCACAGACAGCACGTGTATTATAATTAATTTCTTCAACTCTAAGGTTAGACAAATTTAACAAGAGCAACAAGCTAGATTCAATATTCATGAAACTAATTAGGACGGATTTGGTGTTGGGAGTTAGTTAGTTGTGTGGTTCTCGAGATATATCATCAAGGGAGATAAGGGATAACTTCACAACAGAACCAATGCTTTTTGAAACGGGTTGCACCGATGATATGGACTGATATGCCCGGCACTAATAATAATTCTGCGACTAGGGTTAAATAAGGGAAGGTAACTCAACTAGAGATGGAATATTGAAAACTGATTTGCAGTCACTTCTGATCTCCCACCCACCACCCCCCCAGAGTCCACGCTAACGAATATAGAAGACAGACTAGTCAGAGTTGGTGAAAACAAGTGATTTCATTATACAGAATACATTATTTTTATTCCCTTAGGTTCCGAGTGGAACATAGGGCTTCAACAGAACATCTCCATTCTGTCTTGTTTTCTACAGTCCTCTTCAGTTGACCCCACGATTGACCATAAGCTCTTATCTCTACCTCAGACGAACTCCTCAATGCCACCCTAGGAAGCATACATAACCAGCCATTTCCCAATTGGGTTCCACTCAAAAGTGTATTGAGTGATGTCACACAACCAACTGCTTAGAGTATGTCCGATTCATCTCCATTTGTTGGGCAATAGGTTCTTAACAGCTTCGTTGTCAGACTTCTTTTTGACAATCTTTTCTGGCCATCCGATCATCTGTATGAAGCAAAGGCATCTGTTAATAAAAGTTTGAAGCCTGTTGGGAATGGTTTTGCTTACCAGTGCTCCAATTCTGTGAACCATATAGAAACGCTGATTTGACAGTGTTGAAAATCTGAAACTTGTTCTTCATGTTGACTGCAGTAGATCCAAAAACCGATTTCAAATTAATGAAGTTCTATCTTGCCTTACCGATCCTGGATTGGATATTCTCATCTGTGCAACAAGTCTATAGTTCAGACGATGCTACCTGTTGATAATCGCGAGCCCGAATAGCTCAGTGGTAACGTCTCTGACTGCAGCACTGCACTGGGTGACGCGGGTTCGAATCTCAGAAGGGACATCAGTTCCTTCAAGGTTGCAGATACGAAACCTAGGTCCAAGGCTTCCTGACGATTGCCTCCAACTATCTAATGATTACCTCTGTCTTCTCGTTCGTTCACTAGTGTTTCTGTCTTCGCTGCTTCTGCTGACAACTTGTTGGCAATTTGTGTAACATTAGACATAAATTGTCCGCGACGTCCAGATCTTTTAGAGTTTTCTTGTCTACCCAACGTATTTCTGTCTTCTCACTCTCCACGGTTGGTTGCACGATCCAGTCCACCACTATCAGCGGTAATATACAACGCAGCCTTGTCTTGTTCTAATGACGGCCTGCTTGAATCACTGGGCTGCCTAAATTTCCACCCGAGGTATTGCATAAAATTCTCCCTATTCTAAAATTTCAATTATGTCCATGAGTCGCCAAATATACCCACGCACATTTTTAATTGGCTGTCAGCGCCTATTGCTGTGCGCTTCTCGTAGATGAAAGAAAAATACCGTAAGGGATTATTTTATTCTTCAGATCGAACAGTATTGTCTTTCATGACATACTTTAGTTTGCTATAAAACTTGAAGAGAAAATATTATGCAATAAACTAGGCTGAAAATTCTGTACACTCTCTTTCTTTTCAGAATAAAGCTTTTATTTGTTATTATGCCTGTTCACTTTAAAGGCTTTACTAAGCTTTCCTTTGTGAATCACTTGATATGTGGCATAGTCATTTATCTGTTGAATGTGGTTGATAAAGATCTAAGCTCCATGTGTTAGAGCAGTTTCCAAATTACTTCACGTCCAACACTGTCGAAGGCCTTTTCGAGGTTGATGAAGTTGAGGCAGAGATTTATTTAACTAACGAAAAATACGTTTTATATAAATATTACTAGCATCGGAATGTAGAGCCAACAAATGGCTAATTAATTTGGTTGCATAAGGTCAGGGTCTTCAAGGATATCCAATCGCATTGTAATAAAAATTTTACCTCGGTCCAATGATTTCATTTTATTTTGTACTGTAAATTTGGTCAAGGGAATAACTTGCATTATAAACAATTTATTACATGATATAAATTATAAAATATTCATTTTCTTTTCACTTACATGTTTAAGGTATTCCAATAGACGAGCTAATTCATCTTGTGATGCAAGTTGACGCTTCACAGTCAAATCAAATGGTGATACTTAGTGAATTAAACGCCCGAGAATTAATTATTTAAGAAAATAAAAGAAGTAAAAGAGAAGATGATTAGTTATCAGAATAGTAGGCATTTATTTTCAAATAACCATTGTTATGCTTGAACTCATTCCCTAGAACAGTTATTTCATGTTGTTTAAGGTTATGAGCTACACTTAGTGATGACACTACACACTTGCCCAGGCTGAAAGCAGGCAGGTGGGGATTCGAAAACAAGACATATTGGGTGAAAGCCGACAGAGAAACACAGCACCACAGGAACCAAGGAGCAATGAACAGCTGTTTCGCCTTAGTTGGGGACTCCTTCAGCAGTGTACAACTATTGTAACAACAGAAGGCAAGACACGGGACCGGTATATTTTCATTTATCAAAGCACTGTGTATATATCTACAGTTCATATTCGTTAACCAATAACCGAGCGTGTGATTTCGGTTTACACCAAAACAACATGAAATAGATTGTTCAAATATACATAGTATTCTTTTGTTAATGCAGTATATAACCGTGGGAAATGTATTCTGTCTAACATCAAGTCGAATGTTCAAATAGATATATTGTATGCAGTATTGAACTGTGGGAATATGTGACCATAACATTCCGCTCGCACACATTGTCTGTAACACACCACCACACTATGACCACCCTAGAGACCCAAACCAGAATATTCAGGTTACGAGGATAGCCCGTTGACCATTCAGACATTAGCATACATGGAAGGGGAGAAGATAATGAGAACATTTCACTGAGAAAATGTAATGCAATCTAATTATCCACCTTGATCTTCAGCACAATATATATATATGGCATCATTGAAAGAGAGTTGTAGTTTGTTGATTCATGCATTTAGCTTTGAACTATCTAATGGGATGTGAATAGCTCTCATAAAGTAAATACATTTATAGACACATCAACATTAAAATATTCAGATCAATAGAGATCACAGTTAGTTCATGAAAATTTTATCCTCAAGTGAGTGTGCAACTCGTACACATGGCAGAGATTAGCCTATAAGGCATGTTTCGTAGTATTTGACATAACATATTGTAAAACACTGCTGTTCACGTTGAACTAGTCTCAGTGAATATAATCTTATGATACAATGAGTGAAGAAGGATTACTTATGGAACGCAACTTCAAATGAATACTGCTGTTCTATCTACTTGCTTCCTGCAGTATACAACCGGTCGGTCGGTCGGTTTTCGACATAGAACTTTGCACATATGTGCGGCAGTTCAAGTCGCCATACTTCACTCAGCACACAAAGCAAGAGAAGAAAGTAGGAGAAATGCATAATATAGACAGTAAACAGAGGTGTAAGACAAAGGAATAGTAATAACGGAGAACAAAACAGTTTCATTGGAAATCATAAGTCACAAGGAGTGGATGCATCTGCGCCACTGAGAACGATTTCTAGCCATGTCACCAATTGTTTCCAACCATTGGTTTTTACCATCCCGAGGACCCCAACCAGGAAGCCTACATCTTCCTACGTGGCTTAGACTAACTGTTGTGAATTTCATTGACTGGTGCCATGTTTTGGTTTGACCGCCGCTAGCTCTTTTCCAGCCTGGCCCTATATCAGCTAACATTGCCCGTCGAGGAAGGCGATGACTAGGCATACGCAGTATACAACCACACATTTTTTTAGGGTAGGAAAAAGCTGCACACTAAATTTGGCTACAAATTTAATGCTAGCACGACACAAATTCTAATCATTATCCGATTCTTAACAGCTATGAAACTGATAATGTTTTATGAAGGTCAATAATAAACCTGAGTAAGTTCATATTCAGCGAAGCTGTCGAGAAGCATAGCTGGAAGGAGAGCTATACATCGCGAACTAACAAAAGTTAGAATTCACAGCGTCACTGAATTCCGTCCAAGTCGCTGAATGGTCAACCGAGCTACCTTGTATCCCGAATGTTCAATCCCCAGTGGGATCATAGCTGCGTGATGATGAAGAGCCCCCAAACTGCGACGAAACAACTATCCAGTATTCGCTGGTTTTCAATGGGTCTATAACTCATATTAGGTCGTCACCTAACTTGAAGATATGACTACAAGCTTGACAACTACAATACCCATTAAAAACTATGAATTTCAGAAAAATATTAGTCAAAATACATAAACAAATAGACAGAAACTAAGCATCGAAATTCATCATCCTCTTCAACCACTTACGGTCTTCGAAAAAGGACGATACTGAAATGATGTGAAAATTTAAAGCACAATCTATTAGCTGAAAGACTCGACTTTCAGTTAGTAAGTTTCGTCAGCTGTGGCTTACTGGTCTAGGCGCTCGACTTCCAGACAGTGGATTACGGGTCTGAATCCCAATCCACCTGCGGAGGTTTGAGAAGCACGGAACTGCTATCAGTTATTCAGTAAAAACCATATACTACAAACGGTATCTGTAATCATAATAAACTGCATGAAAAACGAACTTTACGAGGTAGATATATTTTTGCTGCTGTGATCTGTTGCGCTGAGAACTAATATTTTATGGATGATATGAGGGGATTCAAATCCTGAGCCACCAGCACACAATATGATCTACAAGGTCAGGTCTTCCACATAACCGAGACATAATTCCTTATCTAGCAAAAAGAGGCATGTGTAATTGAATTAAATCTTATAATCAGTTATAATTATTATTTAATCCTTGCATTTCTAATGGAACACAGGGCTTCAGTAGCACACTGCCATTTCACTCATTTCTTTCTCATCACTTTGAGCTGGCTCCACAAGTGCCGAAAAGCTTTCAATTTCTCCCCCACATATTCTTCTCTATGTCACCTTTGGCCATCAAACCCGCTGCTTCCTATTCAGGTTCTATTTGATGGCCTTAAAATCGATTTGGAATCTCACCAAGGATAAAAAAAAGCTCGTTTGGCGTAGACGTCATATCTGGCCATCGATCAACAGACATGTGTACTAAGTAGCAGTTTGCTCTGTCCTCCCCCCCCTTATGGCCGTGAAACATGGCCATAGAAAATGGAGGGCCTGAAGAGGCTAGTTGTTTTTTTAACACAGATGTCTGTACTCTATCTTGCGTGTTGTGTCATAATATGGTTAGGAATATTGAGTTTGGGCATAGGATGTGCAGGGAGATGCAGGAGAAAGTGGAGATGGATTGGACACTCGCTGAGCTGAGGAGGCCGCTGGGTGACATCGCGCGTCAGGCCAGTGCTCGAGTGGGACCCGAAAGGGAAGCGACGAGTGGGATGTCCAAGGGTGACATGGAGGAGATCGTGTGAACAGGAACTGAAACAGTATGGATTAACATGGATGCAAGTGAAAAATACAGCAGAAGACAGAAGCAAGTGGAGGCGTGCAGTTGAAGCCCTATGTTCCACTAGGAACCCAAGGGAGCAATAATGATATATAATAATGTTAGGTAAGGAGGGCGAGCCAATCGACTAGGTTTTTAAGCTGTGTCGATTGAGATAGTTAGAACACGTGGTACACATGTCTAGCAACCATTTTCTTGACATCAATCAACGAAGTCTTTGACTGCTAGTTTAAGGCACGTAAGGGGATGTGGACTGGCTGACTGGCTGGAGTCTTCGAGACTCAACGAACCAATGACTTGCAACTTTTAGTGGTGGGGCTCGAAAGCATTCTCATTGACACTGCTGCGTTCACTCTTAGTAATCTCCCAGATTCATCATATCCTCATGTTTTTCCATGTAATTATTCTTCTTCTCATGCAGTACTTATCTCTAGCTCTGTGTTCTATACGCAGTAACTCGACATGAAGTGCTACACTTTTGTGCAATGTTCTACGTTTAAAATCACTCACTCAGTCAGTCAATTAATTTGTTATCGTATCATAGCTTTCCTTTTACACCGAAAAGATCAATCAGAAAATTGTGCTTATCGTAGACAGATAGATTGATTAATATAACAAATACGGGCTGACTAACTAACTAACTAGGTAACTAATCACAAAAGTATATTAAGTAAAAAACCTACATTCAGTATTTGTTATCAATTTCTCTTTTGGTATATCTGAAGGAATTTGACAAAATTCTCTCAATGAACCAATCAATGGCCAAAGTAATAAATTCTTTCCTAGATCTGGGAATTTTTGGCATAATTCATGCACAGTCTTGATAGCAGTGTCGTAGAAGAAAAGTGAAATTGCTCCTGAATCGTTTTCACTGTCCATAAGGGTATTTTTCAACTGCAATATTTCCAACAACTTTTTTTAGAGGAAGAGTAAAACAGAAAAAATTTGAAAAGGGAAACAACAAATACAAAAGTCATATTTTTCAAATGAACATTAAACAAAATAAACTTGACTGATAGAATTCAGTCAGTGTATGACATCAGTTACTCCCCAGTACCTAATCAGAAAGTATTCATTACAGTTCTACAGGAGGTCAATTGCGAGCCCGGATAGCTCAGTGTCAACATCTTTGAATACAACACTAGGCGACCCAGGTTCGAGCCTCAGAAGAGAGATGACTCCCATCAAGATTGCAGATATACCTTACTGACTGGTGAGTGCTAACAAGCACGAAATTTTAGATCCACGGCTTTCTGCCGATTGCCTCCATGTAACAATGATTCAGAGTGTACTCTGATGACGAGCCAACCAGCATGGCGGTCATATTGCAAACTTGACTGACAGAATTCAGTCTGCACTAAACAAAGGACTAGATCAATGACACTAGTTACTACCTGGTGTCCAATCAAAATAAACAATCCAATGGTATTACAACATTTCCCGGTATAGTTTAGTAAAGGGTAATGAAGGTTAGTCAATACATTTATCCTTCCATGAAGTCTTAGATACAGGCTATTCAGTCGTAAAGAACCAATCAAATCTATTCAAAGGTCTACATCTTAACCTATTCTATACTATAGACATCTTAGCAATGCATAACTTGAGGTCAGAGAAGTATGCATCACAAATATTTGTTAAGTCTTTTCCGTTATCGATTTCCCGAAAATGGTCAACTAACTAAAGCATTAGGAAATTTTGAACTGTCGAATTCTTAAAATGTTACATTTTTTTACATTATTAATGTTATTACTATTATTTATGTTTTAATTAGTGACTTGAACCTAAGGGACATTGTGAACGTTAACTTATAATAATTATGACAATCATAATATAAAAGAAATCAAGCCATCCAATCACATATATGCACAGAAACTTCTAAACTGAATCATAAAAAGCAGAGAATGAATTATTCGAAAACGGATACAGCTAGCTAAGATTTATTGACAGAAATAAAAGAGAAAAACTGCTGCCACTGAAGGTTGCAAATGTTCTTAAGAAACTTGGAGTTCAAAGGTAACACTGAGGCAGGAATTCTTTAAAACCACCTTTTGAAATGTTAAAAGAAGAAATCTCAAGCAACCAGCAGACAGTTAATCCAATCATGCATTAAGGACAAGATACCGTATTCGGACAACTCATTGTGTACTGAATCAATTTACTTAATCATGTGAAGCCGTACACAGCATCAACTCCATAAACGTCATTTTTGAACACTGCTCAGTCTGCTAAGTTAACGGAGAGAAGAGTACTAATAGTTCTACCTTTGACCACCTTATCAACTCCGAACATCACTGTTTCATAATGATACACATATTTCCCCGATGCCGTACGAAAGGAATTACAACACAACCAAATCACTGGGTATTCGAGAAATGAGACTCAACGTCTGCGTTCAAGAGTACTAAACACACTCACTCCCCTTACTATGGTTAGAGTAAAATTCTTGTCACAATTTTGTACCATCTTATTGTTTTCAGTTTTAATTTGTTGTTGTTGTCATCGCCTATTATTAACATCTCACTTCTCATACAATTTCTATATAAACATTTTACCGTGTTTCTCACTAACTTTTATTCTCCACTTATTCATTCCCTTCTAGATTACAGCCTATAATAACCTAACACATATTCCAGAACGAATTTACTAGTGCCTGATTGGTTAATACAAAGACGATTATATAATTCTTGAAAATGATTTTTACGAGTTGATCACGGATTGATATCACTTAGAGAACCATTGAAAACCAAGGAGTACTGGACGGCTGTTTCATTCTAGTTTGGGAATCATCGGCAGTACGCACCCACCACCAGGGTTCGAACCCAGGACTTTCCGGTTACAAGGCAAGCTCGTATACCACTCAGCCACTGGGACCCCACCCGATTCAATGACCAGTCCATGAATTCTAACTTCTACCAATTCGTGATTTAGCGCGACCATCAACCAATGTCATCGGTGGGACATCCATCCTCACACTTGACTGGATGGACCTCACTGGTCACGAATTCTCACTAGAACTCCAGGAAACTTTGTCCTGTAGCAAGTCACTAGCGAGCATCAGATTAATTTTCGTAAAAACAAAACTAATCCTTACATGCCAACCATTGAAAATGATTTAACAGAAAGAAAAACTTTTTAAGGCTGTTACGTCTTCTTTTATTCAATTACAAGTATGTTCAGTGATTAAAAAATGTTCCTTGCACTAAAAATGAAAAAGACGATATTAAAACTTAACCCCGTATTCCGAACCTGAGGTGAATTGGTAATTAAGTCTGAATTTCCTATGCGCACACATACAGTTTAAAATTTATACATACACAATACAATAAGACATACTTGATTGCAAATCAGTGAACAATACTTTTCATAATTCGAATTACTATTACCACCACTACCGTCATTAGGACAACGAACAAATTCTGGAATTGTAGTTAAAATATTGGCTAGTGTTGAAATCATTTTCGGCCGTATACGTGGATCAATTGAAGTGATTTTTCCAGTTGAAGGTATAATCCCAGGACAAAGTGATATAGAAGCAAGTAACATACTTTTAACACCTAAATTTTGAATATTTTTTGACGTGTTTATATTATTCGCCTCATCATTAACCACTACAGGATGAACCAGTAAACGAGATAACAGACGCCCACAAGATTTTCGTAACCAAATTGGTGCTTTAGGTAACTGGACAGCACCTTTTACCTAATATTAAAGGATAGACCAAAGTAAGTAACTGGATACATATATATATATATATATATATATATATATATATATATATATAAAGAATTGAAATTGCGAAAACGTATTTAGATAATACTCAACATATTCTTCTCGAATGTTAGTAAGTATTCAAGTGAACTGACTAATGATGAATTAGTGTGAATATATATTCATAAAAACAATGTGATTAACAATTAATTCAGTGAAAATTATGGTGAAAATTCAAATAAAAAAGGAACCAAAAATACATCGATTTTATCGTTAAATTTACTTTCATGTAATATACGAATTAAATTCCAACGCTACACATCATCATCATCATCATCAAACAGACCATAGAAGGAGTCAACTCTCTCTGCCTCAACTTCGTCGTTTTCGGTACAGCCATCAGCCGAGACGACTGTGAAGTAATTTAGAAACTGATCCAACACTACAGAGTAACTAAACCTTTATCAATCTCATTCAACAACTACATGATGATGTCACATGTTAAGTGATTCAGGAAAGAAATATCATTGATGCCTTTGAAATGAAGACAGCAGTAAGACAGACTGTCTACAATTACTGATGATATTCCTGACTTTGGTAGACAGAATCATGTGGCAGGCTATGGGCAGCTAGAAGACAGGAACATGTTGGGCTGCCAACAAGAAGACTCTAGAAGACTTGGGCTTCATAAACAAATTATGTCTAATGTTACACGAAATCGAAGATCTACAGACGAACAGAAACAAGTTGTTGGGAGAGGCAGACAACATCAGAGTTCAGGCGAACATAGAAAAGATAGAGAGGATGAAGATACCTAACCGACAACAAAAACAAGCACCAATCACCATCAACGGAAGTCACTTCTTTCACTTGTCTGAGTGGGCAGTAGTATTTCAACTACAGGAGGCACGGATTTGAATGTTGAAGGCGAGACAGACCGTTACTAATCTGAAATCAGTGCGTAAGTCTGCTTCACTCACCACAAGGAGCAAGATTCGGATTTTCAACACTAACGTTAAGTCAGTCAGTGCTTCTATATGGTTCAGTGACTTGTCTCACACGTTAAGAAAAGCATTTCCAACAAGCTGAAGACTTTTATAGACAGTTGCCTTCGCTCCATACTGAAGACCAGATGACTGGATACAACCGATACGCAGCGAGGAACTCTGGCAAAAAAACCGAGAGCCCAACAAATATACGGATGGAAATGGAGATGAATTGGACACATCCTGAGGAGACTTGGATGACATATTACGGGCCTGGCAGACTCTCGATCGGAACTAGAGTGGGAAACAACGAGTTGGTAGTTCGACAGTAACATGTAAGAAATTGGGTGGGGAGGAAATAAAAGCCTATGAGTGATCGTGGAGCCGGCGATAATAAAATGAAATGAGGATGTGTCGTTGAATCCGTCTATTCCACTGAACCCAAGGGAATAAAAATAACCCTAATGTAAGTGTAGAACTTGGGCACTGTGGTAGAATGTAATCCAATATTAGATAAGTTTATTTTAAATATCACACAGTGATGCAGTATTAACAACTGGATGACGTTTCGAGCATCAATTTGATAAGATTATGAGCAATAATTAATGCTCAAAACGCCATCTAGTTGTCAATACTGCATCACTGTGTGATATTTAAAATAAACTTATCTAATGTGGAATAATAACCCAGTTTTTTTAACTACTATTATTAAAATTTTATATATTGTCTGTTCACATATTCAAATTTGTTATGCTTTATATTTTATCTAAAAATTTCAAAACCACCGTTTTTAGGATTTTGTCTGGTCTTTGTTTCACTTCATATGAATAAGTAAGTCTAGAATTTGAGGCATCTCTAATAGGATGTAATAATAGATAGCTAATATAGTCAGGACCATCCTAACACCAACCATCCGTCTGAACGTATCAGTGAAAAGGAGAAACGACTGCACTACTCGCCGATGCCTTTTCGTAATCTCCGCCTACGCCCCCACTGACTGCAGTTCGGATGAAACGAAGGATGAGTTCTACCAAAAGCTGTCTAGTTTGCTGCGAAAGGCTAAACGCTCAGATATAGTCGTTTTAGCTGGTGACTTTAATGCTCAAGTAGGGAAATTGTGTCAGTCTGAGAAGAATGTCGGTGGCACATACGGAATTCCGTGCCAGCGAACCGACAACGGTGACCGTCTCCTACAGTTCTGTTCAGATAATCACTTGTTTCTTGTAAGCACTAACTTCAAACACAAGGAGAGACACTGTTTGACCTGGCGACCTCCATCATCAAACCAACGCTGGACACAAATAGACCACATAGCAATAAGCTATCGTTGGCGTGGGTCGGTAGGGGATTGTCGCTCCTTCTGGAACACGTGTGTAGATACTGATCACGCACTGGTCCGCGCTCGTGTGTGCTTACGACTGAACGGACGTAGGAAACAGCTAGCAGTAAACCCATCATGTCCCCAGCTCGATCAGGAAACTAAGTCCCTATTTGAGGAAGAACTAGCTAAACACATATCTGAGTTTGACAGCTGCGCTCATCCTGAAGAAGCCTGGAAGAATATTCAATCAGCCATAGATACAGCTGTAAAAGCTGTGAATAAGGTAAATCCAAAGGTGAGTAAAAACCATTGGATTTCGACTGCCTCATTCGAACTGATAGATGCTAGAAGACTTATTCCGGCGAGCTCCGAATTCAATGAGGAGCGAAAGCTGCACAAAAGGAAACTTACGGAAAGTCTCCGCAAGGACCGTGAACAGTGGTGGTTGACAAAGGCGAAAGAGATGGAAAAAGCATCGGCGATAGGCAACACTAGGCAACTCTTTAGACTCATCAGAGAAACGGGTGGGAGAAGGCAAATCATAAGTGAGACTGTTTGTGAGAAAAATGGCTCCTTAATTAGCTCTCAGGATAGACGTCTCAAACGCTGGAAAGAACACTTCGAGGAACAGTTTAACTTGCCTACAGCCACACTGAGCCTCCCCGCCATCCAGCACACACCCGAATGGGATGTAGACACTGGCCCGCCGTCTGTAAGTGAGGTCACCAAAGCTATCTGTAATTTGAAACGAGGCAAAGCGGCAGGACCCGACGGAATTATTCCGGAGGTATTTAAATATGGGGGTGACACACTAGTATATAGTTTAACTAAGGTACTAGGTAACGTCTGGGAATCAGAGACGGTTCCATCAGACTGGGGTAAGTCACTTATCATACCAGTATTCAAGAAGGGAGACAAGTCCTCATGTGATAATCATAGAGGAATCAGCCTAACGAACATAGTCTCTAAAATCCTAGGCTCAGTAATCATGAACAGACTAAGCCGAACTCGGGAGGAACAAACGAGGGAAAATCAAGCGGGCTTTAGGCCAGGTAGAGGGTGCATAGATCATATCTTCACTCTCCGACAGATCCTAGAACATAGACACACTTTTAGGCGTCCGACAATTGCCATATTTCTTGACTTGAAGGCGGCCTTCGACTCCGTGGATCGAGAGGTTCTATGGCAATGTTCGACTATGAAGGGAGTGCCAAGAAAGTACATTGCACTAATCAAGGCACTCTACTCAAACTCACGTAGCTGTGTAAGGGCTTATGGGGAATTGTCATCTGAATTGATAACAACCAGTGGTGTCCGTCAGGGATGTCCACTTTCCCCTTTTCTGTTTAACTTCATCATAGATATGCTAATGGAAATATCCTTAACCGAACGTAACGACTTAGGAATCGACTTGTTACCAGGGAATAGTCTTATAGACTTAGAATACGCAGACGACATAGTCCTATTAGGGGAGGACGCTGACAAAATGCAGAGTCTTCTGAACACCTTGAGCAGCAATCTTCGTATGTTTGGCATGCGATTCGCCCCTGTGAAATGTAAGATGCTGCTACAGGACTGGACTACGTCAACTCCTAGCTTAATGATAGGGAGTGAAGTGATAGAACATGTTGACCACTTCACCTATTTGGGAAGTTGTATCAGCACCAACGGATTGATTGGTGACGAAATCACAGCACGGATCCAAAAAGCTCGGGCTGCTTTCGCTAACTTACACCGTCTCTGGCGTAGGCGTGACATCCGGCTGTCAACCAAGGGACGTGTATACTGCTCATCAGTTCGCTCCGTCCTTCTCTATGGCGGTAAGACGTGGCCATTGAGAGCGGAAGACATGAAGAGATTGTCTGTTTTTGACTACAGATGTTTACGATCTCTTTCTCGCGTTAGGTGGTATAATAAGGTAAGTAATGTTGACGTTAGGCGTAGTGTTGGGCAAAGAGGGAAAATCAATCGAAGAGGCTATGAAGTTACATAGATTGAGATGGTTAGGCCACGTGCTGCGCATGCCTAACCATCGTCTCCCCCGACGGGCATTACTAGCTGATATAGGTGCAGGTTGGAAAAGAGTAAGTGGTGGCCAAACAAAAACATGGCATCAATCCATGAAATCCCTGACAGTTAAACTGAGTCAGGTAGGGAGATGCAGACTTCCGGGTTGGGGCCCTCGGGACTCTAAGAATCAATGGCTGGAGACAATAGGTGACATGGCTCAAAATCGTTGTCAATGGCTTACGCAGATGTATTCAGTCTCTGTAATCTTTCATATTCCTTTCTACCATTACTCATTCTGTTTCACTCTTATACTTATCTAAATTCTATTGATTCTCTTCTCTCATTTTCCTGTCTACCTTTGTGTGCTATTTGGAACTTGGCAACTCGAACTGCTGCACTTCGGTGCCAAGTTCTATGTTGAATCCAGCAGCAGCAGCAGCAACACCAACTATCGACATAATATCGTATCCTGCTTTAAGAATTTTAACAGTAGCATATATTGTGTTACAATTATCAAGTCCAATCAACCAGAATGAAAATATTTCTGGTTGATGGTAATTAGCTGTGAAATCCAAGGTGCTTGAGACTCGTCATACAGGTACACCTGCATTCCCAGTGAGTGACGGTGTCTCCACGGAGATTGGAACCCATCGTCTCAAAAATACCAAGGCATTAATTCGGCAGACCACCACCAGAGCCATCTCTTGTGAGACGGGTATCAGTTATTATGTTTTTTTTAGGTTTCATACTAGGACTCAACAAGTTAACAAAGACCAAGCATTTAGGGGTTCAATAAAATCAATCAACAAGTGATGTAAAATTAACTTAATAATAATAATAATAATAATAATAACAAATGAAAAGTCAAGGATGACAATACAACATACTAGAAACCAACCTTATTATTACTAGATGATCCACCTTGAAGTATCATTAACTCTTTCATTGCAATATGACGTGGTAGATCTAATAAAAGTTTCCAAAGAATTTTACGTGATTCACATGCACATGCCATCAGTGAAGAAATTTTTTCAGAAGTAAAATTATTATTTTTTATGTATAAATCCATTCCGTAAGCAGATTGAAATAAACTTGCAATTAAATCCCCCAAAAATGAAGTACTACTGATTAACCGTTGTAGTTGAAAGGATTTTGATCTTTGCAAACACAGAAGACACTTAATAATCTGTGTAATCAGGCAATGACAAAACGAGAAAAAAAAAGAAGAAAAACGAGGAACTTCTAGAAATCGTATCTTCAAAATATTTGTACAAAACTGAAAATTGAGATAAGGTAATCTGATTTTCCTTTTAAAACAGTCCTATGCGTAATTAGCCTAATGGTTTATTATACAAACGAGTGTCTGAACTAGTCTTTTGTGGTTTATCAAAAATGACATCAGTCGAAAGAAAAGATAAGATACTGTTTGTGAAACAGTAAATTACGACTAAAGTGAACTACACCTTTGCAATTTAAGTAAACACTAGAAGAATATTTAAGGGCTGTATTTCTGATTATGAGTTAATGGATCAATGGTAGAATGCTCGCTAGACTTGTCAGTTGATCGGGTTCATCAACCCCTCCCCCTTACGAAATTCTAAACCTTGCCTAGTTTACTACCCGGTAATAAGCCTGGTAAAAGAGGGAAGGTTGGGTGTAAGCCTAGTAACCGCACCGTGTGAAAACAATACCACCGCTACTGAAACTTCGAAATAGCTCGGAGTCTTACGTTTCATTCAGAACGAAAAGGGATGGAAAAAATCTTTGATTATAACGGTTCCAAGACTTGTGAAAAAATTAGAGAGAAACCTTGATAATTTTGTTAAATAACACTATTTATACTTTCTATGATTTCGCTTACTTTGAAGAAATGAAAGCTTTTCGTCAGGACTGTGGGGACTCCACATTGTTTGACTAGTTTTGAAATTGCACGAAATCCACTAAACGTGTCTTTCCATTCGATAGACAGCTAGGCGTGTCAACCATGTCACCGATCACTACAGTATACAGAACACAGAAACTCACGAAGACTCATGACAATACCCCTTATTTTAAGAAAACATTTTATACTACTACACAGAGTTACAGTAAATGCAAACGAATTATTCCCACAGAGCTGGTGAATAGTACCTCCAATCAAATTCCCCAAATAACTTAGGAAATGGTATAATAGGGTTAGCAATATTGAGGTTAGGCATATGTCGAGTGCTAGGTAAGGAGGGGAAATCAATTGACGAGGCTGTCAAGTTACATCGATTGAGATGGTCAGGACATGTGTTACTGATGTCTAGCAACCGCCTTCCTCGACAATCGGGAATGTTAGCTCACATGGGATCAGGTTGGAAAAGACCTAGTAGTGATCACACAAAAACATGGCTTCATCAATCAATGAAATCCACAACAATTAGTTTAAGCCAGCTAGTCACGTATAGAGGTGTGGAATTACTAGTTGGGATCCTCGGGATGGTAAGAACCAATGAAACCTGGAGACAATTCGTGATGCGGCTCAAACTCATCATTCTCAATGACTGGAGTAGATCCATTCACACTTTGTGATTTATAATATCCAATAAAATTCTATTGTTCTTCCATATTACTATTCTTTTTGCCTCCTATCTCTGTTTTGAATCCCTTTTTACTTTCTTCTCTTGCTTTGTGTGCTACGTAAGGTGTGGCAACTCGAAATGCTACATATCTGTGCAAAGTTCTACGTTGAAACCAGTCAGTCTAGATAAGTAATTTACGAGTTATAGTAGGTAGCGATTTGAAACTACGTCATATCTTAGTGCATATGCAACTAAAGCATTCTAGGATAACGATGAAATATCACACCAAAGAAATGATTAGGATACGGCAAACTAGGCATGTAAGACTTCACTAAGAGTACTCTAATCATTCAGCTTGTCCATTCTTTATTTTAAAATGTCTGCTCTTATCATTAGCATGGTTAGTGACCGGAATTTCTCATCCCTATTAAAGAGGAATTAGGTTGAAATGTGTGCATACTTTTCATTGCTAATGAATGAAAAAATTATCAGTGGTTTTAGTGTGGTTGCATTCTCTCAACATGGTGTTTTAATTGCGAATCTTTCGTCTTTAGCGCAATTATATCAAAATCACCCACCTAACTAAACAATGATACTGTTATCATGACTGGGTATGATCATACCCAGAGCCAAAATAAACTAGAATAGTCACCTCGGCACGTGACCTTGGACGGTCAATTACAGTCATAGGCAATACAATCACAGCACACTGTTATCTGTTTTGGGTTTTCTTAACGGTTTGCAGGAAGACTAAGAGTTTAATTACTGTGAATAATTGATTACCTGGGGCTGATAAAACATGCATATGCAGAGAGAGGTTGACAAGGCAAATTGTCTTTGGGACGGAGTAGGATTTTACAGTTAATTAGAGACACAAGCAGAAGCATAAATGGATCTCAGGACACCATAGTCTACAGTGCCTCCTTAAAAGTGTTGAGACTTCTACTGCTCCCTGATACCAATACATTTCTGAAGGTCAGAAGCACAGACGATAGGCGTTGCTACTGTAAACTTCCCACGTTAAACAATCAAGAAATACAAACATAAGTACAGAAACTGTCATGTTTACCTTCATAAGTTTCTCAAATCTTTTCTCGTCACTTTTCCTTTCAGAACAAAGAAAATTTCCGTAACTTTCCACACGCATGCTCAGTGGAAATGAGACTCCTGCATCCAGAAGAGGATAAATCCCAAGTCCCACGACAAACTCTATGCATTTTGACAGTTTTTCCTCCTGTGGAACACTAAATAACGGGACTTCAGATATGTTATTATTTATCTTTCTGTTGTATATGTCTTCAGAAGCATAGAGAAAATGCATACAGCACAAGTAAAAAGCTTCATCAACTACCGCACCGTCCACATCTGATCTAAGGCTTGCATCAGCTGATTCTTTCAGATATGCCTCGATACATTCATTTAGTCTAGCAGAAAGGTTTGGATCGCTGAAATTGGATGACGGAAGGAGACGATCGACATGACTAAATAGGAGACGAATATCGTCCATAATGACCTTCAAATCAAATCAACGCCTCTGCAAAAGACCAATAACCTTAACATTGCATAATTTAAAAGTTGAGTAGAATGTCAAACAACAGATTTTTGAGAATTGACTCATTCATTCTTTGTAAAATCTCTTTCTTTGGCTGATTTCGTTACTAAATGAACTTTTATAGATTCTCAGTTGTTCAAAACACAGAGTTAACAACCGTTGCATTAATGGTTACATATTTGCTGCTGGACCTCCCCTAGTTTACTAGAGCGACTTTATTGCATATCCCCTCAATGACGTTTGTCTCTATGCTGCTATTAGTTTCAAGTGGCTTTGGTTTCGGGGCGAGATTTAACTGATATAATATTGTGATTTCATAGACATATCTCAGGCTCATACGTGAAAGAAAGTTATTATCCTGTAGTAAGGAAAAGTTGTTCAGAAGGTAAGGAGGACGTTATTTTTCAGTTTATTTGTGTATATATTATTGTGCACCGAGTTGCATTGAGTTCTTAGTGCAACTGTATGTAACTGCATTTACATAAAGTGAAACATTAGGAATGCTCCTGTTTCTAGAATAAAAAACATTATTATCATTACCATTAAGTTTAGTAATGAAGAATGAAATTTCTTCAACGTCAATGTTATTTAATTGAAGTTGTAATCTGTGTAGGCCCTCGGAGGAATAAATTCGGCATGGAGATCTCCTATGTAAACCGAAAGTACTTTTAGTTTAGTAAATCTTACTGACTTCCTGTATAAATTTGATATTTGTCAAGTGTATATTTCAAATCTGCTGGAGTATTCAGTAAAGTAAAAGTTGTAGTGCATAATTCCAAGACTTGTTGTAGTCATTGGTATTGCCAGAATACCACTTACTCGTTTTATGCAGCCGAAATATACAAATCTCGCTTTATTGAGGAAACACTATAATGCCTGCAAAAGTATTGCGTCAGTTAATGAGTTTCATAAATTCTACAGAATGTTTTCAATTCAGTGATTACTGTTTGCGAATTATCCAAGAAAACACATTCCCAATTGGGATGTAACACAAGGCTGAATTCTTAAACTGTCCTCCTTATATCATTTCAATGCAATCACACATATATGAGTAGGATAGTCATTTAAATGAGTTTAGAGACTTATCATTATCATCAGCTTACAGTTTACTGATGATACTGTACACCTAGACTATGAGAAGTTATCCCTGATACTGGAAAATATGAAAAGAATACCGGTGTTTGATTATAGGTGTCTGTGTTCTATCTCATGATTAAAGCAGTATAATATGGCGATTGCTCTTGAGGTTACGCATAAAGTGTTAGGTGAGGAGGGTAAGTTAGTCTTCAAAGTTGGGAAGCTGAATAGGTTGAGATGGCTATAACACGTGATTGCATACCAAGCCATCGCCTTCCTCGAGGGATAATGTTAGCCAGCACATGTTAAGGTTCAAAATGTGTTTGGGTCGGTCGAATGAAAAACTGCTATTGGTTCATAAAATCGTTGACAGTCAGCTAGAAGAACTACTAGATATATGTCTGCAAGTCTTTGTTTATGGCACAGATGCATTCACTCTGTGTAATCTCACGTATCTATCCAACTCATGTTTTTCCTTGTCACTATTTATTTTCCCTCAAATTTTCGCTCGTTAAACTTCCATTTAGTTTTATGTCTCTACCTTTGTGTGGTGCATGGAATGTGGTGAACTGAACAGTTGGACTTCTTTGCGAAGTCATACAGAAAGTCAGGCAGAATGACACAGGCTAGGCATAACTAAATACGAAACACTGAATAATGGTCTCCAGAATGTCAACAAATGATAATTGCAGTTCTTAATCTTGTTCTTTGCTAAATGACAAATAAATACCTTTCAGTAACCTCTTCATCCACCCGGGATTCGTCTCCTACTTTGCAAGTGCTTTTGTGCTTTATCACTTTTGTGCTAAGCTTTAAGTTATTCAACACATGCCGTTATTGACTAAGGACCTAGATGATATTAGTTGAGTAAGGTTTCGGTCGTGCAAACACGAGTCCTGTGCAGGTGATTGGTTGCATTATCATTTCTCAAATGGAATGCAGCATACTGTATATTAAGATAAATCTTCCGTCTTGCTTGCTGAAGGTTGTATTCCTCAGGGTACTGTTATCTCTCCTTTTCTTTTTTCTCTCTCTTGTCTTACATGACTTTTCTCTTTCTAATGAGAGCAACTTCGTCAAATACGCTGGTGATCTGACCGTCTCACTTCCTATCATGTCACAATGTGTCACCAAGAGGACTTTATTTTTGAGTTTATTTGTATATATACTATTGCGCATCGAGTTGCACTGCGATTCCACATGTAGCAGAAGATTATGAATACCTTGCTCTTCTCTTCTGCATAAGAAACTTACTTCACAAGAACCGCTATATTTAACTCAGTAAGGAAAAATATGAATTTCTCCACTTCAGTGTTGTGAGTTAATTTGTGAACTGTGTAGGCCCCTAAAGTAACGCATTGGGCGTGCATGCTGAATAGTGAAATCAGGAGTGTGCATGTTGTACTAAATCTTCTGCGCTTTCTGTATGGATTCCATGTTCATGAATTGACCACTTAACAACTGCTGAGTGTTGCATATGATCCAGCTGAAATTATAACTGATAATTCCAAGAATTTCTGTCATTTTCATTGGCAGCGGTTCACAGCCTATTGAGTTTACACAAGTACAATGCCTATTTATCACTTTACTGAGGAGACATTAACTATGATTCCATAAAAGTAGTACGTCAGTATGTGAATTTCATGAATCTGTAGATTGCATTCCATTCACTTAATACTGAAACTAAACTATGAGGGAACTGATATTTCCAAGAATGATATAATACAAGGCTCATTTCTACAACTACCGTCCTTATTTTAGTTCACTTTCATCATACATGTATTAACAAAATTGTGTGTCACTCACTTCAGGGACTTACCAGGGAAAAGTCTTGTCAACTTAGTGTATGCTAATGACATTGTCCACCTAGGTTGTGAGAAGTGACCATTGAAACTGGAAGATACGAAAAGACTACTGGTTTTTGATCTCAGTGTCTGTGTCCTTTCTTCTGTGTTAATTAGTCTAAAATGGTGAGTAATATTGGGGTGAAGCTTAGTGTTAAGTAGAAATGTGACTTCAAACGTTGTTTATAACACAGATGCATTCACTCTGTGTAATCTTACATATCTGAGCAACCATTGTGTTCTTTCCATATCACTGTTCGTTTTCCATGACATTTATGCTCATTAGAGTTCCATTTGATTTCTTTTTTCTCTACCTTTGTATGCTACATGGAATGTGATAACGTAAACAGGTGCACTTGTTTGCAAGCTTCTCTGTTGAAAGTCAGTCTGTCAGAATGATCTACAGTCCAGGTATAATGAAATGCCAAAACGTGGATAAAAATAAGCAAAATTTCAACAAATGATAATCGCATTTTTTTATTCGGTTCTCGTCTAACTGAAAAAGAGTTTTCTTACAATAATTTCTCCTCCTACCCGAGATAACTTTTACACTCTGTCCCGTTACATCTCAAAAGTTGCACTTCTCCACCGAGTTCCATGTTAAAACTACGTCAGTCGGCTTTGTCACTGCAGCTGCCTAGTGTCACAACTCACTACAGTGTTAATTGGCACAAACAATTATGAATGCCGTTTCTTAAGCACTCAATGCATTTCCCAATACCTTAAATTGTCCAGATAAAGTGCACTGAAGAAAACACAAACCAAAAGTCAGTAACACGGACATAAGAATTAGTGCTAATAGAAGTGAATTAGATGAGTGATTTTTTTAAACCTTTAGTATGCATAACTGAAATACTCATGTATCATTCACAAGATGCTTTTATCACAGAGGGCACTGAAACATAAACTAAGTCTAACATGAAATACCTTGGAGATGTTATTACTTCATAAAATGAGATACAATAATGTACGAGATGCTGCGAATTCAACACTGAAACATTAATACTGTTTTCGAACAAAGCAAATTATTATTACTGTTGCACCTCGCTGCAGTGTTAATCTGCTTATACCCTTATTATTGCTGTATCCTAAGTATTGCACTCATTTTCTCATTTCCTTGCACTGTGTAAATAGGGTGCAACGAAGATGTTACAGTGAACTATAAGTAAGTAACGCTGACGCAAGAAATGGTAGCAGTCGAAAGAAGTGAAATGAGTTGAAGACCTTGTAATAATACTAGTAATCTCCCTTATTCCAAAACAGTACTTGACTTATTTACCTATGCATTTTAACGTGTCTTCTAATTATCTTATTTTTGTCTTTGTAGACATTGCCTAAGGTGCCGCTGTACGGATCGTCTGGAAGCAGTCTTTAATTTCATCTACCTTCCGCGAAGTTTGACGTACGAAAAGTCGAAATTTAATAACTGGAAAACGCTACAATTGGTGTTACTCATGCGGCGATACGCCAGACTAGACACGTTATAGCAACGTATGCCTGTAATAACATTACCTACATAGTAAATACAATGCTAGTTACAAAAACTCGTCATTATCTTTTCATTGCGTACTTACAAGAAAAAAACGTTCACCTTACTTCTCATACTAAGTACTGGAGATTCCGCCTATTACTCACTTTTACTTGCTCTCTAGAAAATGCTTTCTACTATATTCGCAAATGACTATTAGACTTCTGTCACATGAAACGGTAAAACATAAGGCATATGCAGTTTAGAAGTTAGGGTATATTTGCATTTATTGACACAAAATTTATGTACATCTTCCATTATTATACAAGAAAGTTCTCAAAGTAATTCAGAGTTGCTCGCAGTGCACTAATAGTATATTCATTACTATAATTGTCCTGCATAAATGTGAAGCTTCTGTTCAATTGCCTGCGAAGTTGCAGTATCTCCATGCAGGGTTTCTTCACTGAACCTTCACACGGCACACGACTTGGTAGCAACGGATCCTGCCAAAACCATCTGCGACACAGGCGAATTACTTTGTCAACTAAAGATATTAATTTAAATATTAGTAAGAGTTTGATTTACCTGTAAACTGAGGAATTTG